CTCACCATGAGCTGACGTTGTCCGGTAACTTATTCACCACGCGCAGAGAGACAAGCGCTAGAAAGGGATAGAGCGTAAAAGAGGTGTCCACTGTGGTGAAGAAGTCGCATTGTGCTGGGTAGTTACAGTGGTGGTGGCATGATATTTTGCACTACAAAATAACTGCTATGTGGATAATTTACTGTCTCTCGTTGACTGATCGTTTTGCCGCTAAGTACAATGATTATCGTTGCCAGAATGCAAGCCATTAGCTGCAGCTCAGCCACCCTCCTCCAGCAAGTATGTATTTATGGTGGCTATATATAGAAATTGTATGCATAATTTACACCATTTGGCCAACAGTACAGAACGAGTGGGGCTGGCCTTGAGGCTTTTACATGTTCATTATTGAACAGAGTAAGGGGCAGAGCAACCTGTAGGTGGGTGCGCGTTTGTGTCTAGTGTGTACAATGCAAGGATAATTATAGTTGTGGAGCTGGTGCCTCCCCTTTGCTGTTAGGCAGCGAAATGAACATGTAAATGTGTATCTAGGTATCTTTTGGCCAGTTGTTACATATACAATATGCGCTTTAATCCACATTCTGTGGAATAGTTCTTTTCTGTCAGCGCTATGATTGAATGTTTGTTCAAGTAGCTGTGGAAAGAGCTGCACTGCAATTTACATAACTCATTACGCTGTGGTTGAGCCACAGACAGACACAAGTGTGTCGGAAATTGTATTTCGCCAACAGGCAGGCCGTCGGGCAGTTGAAGCATTTCGGCAAAGGGATAAAGTTTGAGGCGAAAGCTGGGTTTTGCATCTATCATGTGCACAGATTTATTTTGTACTTTCCGCTCTGAAATTGTGTTAAATGTGGGCACAAAAAAGAACGTGTCATTTTCCATTACTCAACCTCAACGAGCGCTTCGCCTTCGTCCTGCTGTGCTTGCGGTTTTCCTGCTCAATCCATTTGCCGCCTTACACTTGCTGAGATGGCTTCGCTTCTGCTTCGCTGTTTTCGCATTTTCCACTTAAATATAATGAGAACAAAAAAACGTTCGATGGAAACCCTTTTTTTTTATGAAAGGTAAACGAAGCCCCCAGACCACTCTGTCCAGCCTAATTGAACATTTTACTCATGTTACTTGCCCTGAAAAATGTGTGTAATGAAGCCAAAGTGGGTTGTCTGGAGCCGCTCAAGCAGCCTCAACTTTGACCTTTATTAGGCGGGCAGCCAAACGAGAGTGTGGGCGCAGCTTCCGGCATTTGAAATGTTCTATGTTTTGTTGTTGCTGTTGCATTCGTCACAGAATTTGGGATAATTTCATCCGTTAACGAGTGCCAACAAATTACCAAAGCCATTCAGACACATGGCCAATAGCTACGGCTACGTGTGGCCATTCAAATGGCAAATTCCGCAGCCATTCGGCCGGGCAATTAAACAGTTTTCGGCACTCTAGTTTACAGCGGCAGATTAGGCCATTAAATGTTGTACTTAAGACCCCATAAGTCTTGATCTCGCAATGCTGTCGTCAAAGCACCAAGAACAAAAGCGAAATTTCCGCGTATTTATTAAATATTTTCGCATAAAAAAAGGGTTCGGAAATGGGAAACAAAAAGGTAGGACAACGGTGCCACAAAGCCTTTAATCCAACGCCACACAAGAGAGAACTCTCCAAACGGCAAATATGAGTCCAGCCGAACTGCAAATGTTCTCACCCAAAGCTACACAAAGGAAACCTTGAAAATGATTCTGGGTAAAATCGAATTAAGAACCAACACTGTTGCAGGTTAATTTTGTACATCGCTTATTGTTGTAGAATATTCAACTATTCGGCATAAATCACGGACTTTGAGGACGCCACTGTAGCCGTTTCCAGTGAATGAAATTCCCATTTTGAAGCCTCTCATTGGGGGATTTGCCTACAACTCGTTTGAGGCCACAGAAGGGCACAGAAGATGCGAGCCTGCTAAATCGTTTATAACCGATTTCAGGTAGAGCAATCCAGCAAGCCAGCCAAGACGTGCAGGCATCCGTGACACGGTAACAAACCCAAAACACACACAAAAAAAAGAAACAGCACACTGAGACAAAAGGAGGGCCATGGCCTGGGCCCGGGCCCGTGCAAGTGGCTGTGCCTACGTGGCATTATAAAGGCAACTGGCACGGCCACTTGCGCACGTCGCAGTAAGCCGAGCAGGGAGGAGGAGCAGCAGGCAGTGGCTTGGTTCCGTGTGGACTCCAACGCTGGATGAGACTCGGTCGGTGGCAGTCGAGGCTCATAAAAAATTAAAATGTTTACGCTACATTAAATGCAAAGAAGGCATTTGCTGGCAAATTATGATTTCGCGAGTGGCACACACACACACCCACACACACACACACACACGTGACCTTACGACCCCACTGGGAATAAGTGCGAGCCAGGAGCAACGCCAGGCAGCATATTGCGGGGCTAGAGACAGCAAGAACTAAACCAATTTGCACACCTCCAGATGCAAATGTGTGTGTTGATTTGTTGCTAACAATTTGGTACTTCCAAAGCATCTCCATGACACACGGCAGCCGACTTTCGGACATTTTTACACGCATCGAAAGCTGAAAGTGTCCGGGCGGATGAATGGCGGGAAACATGGCCACAGTTGCCTCGTTCTTCAGTAAGTAAACCTTGGGCTTTTTGCAGAAACTGCTATTGACCACCAGCTGCTTGTAAACGGTGCCCACAACTTTGCTCATTAGAGGATTCTTCAGAAATTGATGTTGTGCCGTGGTTCGAGGCAGCCCCGCGTTGGGCACTCCACATAGTCGTGGTCGCCGGTCGTCTCTAGGGATTCCACTGTAAAGTTGATGTCTCCCTTCCTAAAGACATGCGGCGCCTGCAAGGGAATGGACTTGGACTTGGACTTGATATTCTTGTGGCTAATTATAGATACCTGCTCGACATGGCAGTGAAGAAGCGACTGGCATGCATCATCATTTCCATGGCCGCTATTAACTATAACATTAATGAGCAATTAATTGAGTGCCCCAAAAGAGAGTCATTCAGGCGGGAAAATGAGGCTTTAAGCGGTGGACTTTATTGGCTGCGCACAATGTTATATATCCACATCATTTGCATTACAAATGGACCTCCAGAGTTGGGCATTTTCATTTGCACGGTCACCTGGTAGCGTCCCGTGGGATGAAAGCTGGGCAGCATCTCCAATGAGCCCTCGTTCTTCAGGAAGTAGATGCCCGGCTGAATGGGGCAGCTGAACCAGCTGCCATTCACAATCAGCCGCTTGTAAACGGATCCAAAGATTCGGTTCATCAGTGGATTCCTGAGGAAAAGGCAGCCATCGACATTGTCCACTTTGTACATCACTCGCTTCGTTTTTCGCACCCGCACAGCGATGTCAATGGTGAAGGCAGGTGCCAGCTTGACCACCCGAAATGTGTACAGCGAAACCGCATTGGGAACAGAGTGGAAATACTCCACAAAATTGCCATCACAGCTCGTCTCCAGTGTTTCCAAAGTGAACTTTGCGTTGCCTTTTCGGAAAACCATTGGCAGCTGTGGATGGAAACGAAAAGTGGCAGAGCTATCGACCATTGTGAGCTCGAAATTAGACGAACCTCATCGCAGGCCACCACCGAGAGCAGGCCCAGAAAAGCACACAACATCGATTGGGCAGAACCAGCGACCATGTTGAACTATCCCCGACAATTATTGGTGCATTCAGTTTTGTGCTCGTTCCATTGATGGCCAATTAATTGGCAAATTAACACGAGACACGACCAGAAAATGACTTGATTTGTCTCTGATTTTGTGCCCCCTTCATTGATGAGCCATTAGTGTTAATCTTTATGGAAGTATCCAGCATTTAGCTACTCGTATCATCACTTTGGTTGATCGGTTTCATTTGGGGGAACAGCCGCTAAACAAATGCCAGTACACGGAGAGCGAAACTACACTTTTATTAGTACTTTATGACACGATAGCGCCAGGCAAGCGCCACAATAACAGATCCCTGGCCATTCGTGGGCTTCACTTGTATTGTTATGCGATAGCTTCCAGCAGGATGAAAACTTGGCAGCAGGCTTGGGGTGACCCTATTTTGAAAGTGATAAATGCCCCGCCGAACGGGACACTTGGGCATCGTACCAGCGGGCGTATAACTGAGAGATCAGATCAGATCAGATTGTCCAGAAACCGGCACAAGGCAAAGTTCTCAAACTTATAAATGACTTTCTGCGTCTCCTCATTGGCAGCTCGAATGTCTACGAAGAGGTTTTGCAGCGGTTTCATCAAATGTGTACTCTGCGGACAAGAATGTGATCTTCGTTCTGCGGCCAACAGCCTGTAAGTGGGAAAAGTGTGCAGAGTCCGCGTACATACCTCACCGTTGGCTGCAGCAACTTCCAAACAGAAACCCAACACAAATAGTGAAAATAGTGGAACAATCATAACTCAAACTGAACTGCTGCTAAGCGACAAAGACAATTAAAAACTCGTAAAGATTATCGCACCAAAAAGCACTTTGAAAGTGCAAACAAAACTCGCAGTTTAATCAAATTATTCACGTTTACTTTCGAGGTCCTTTTTCCCTGCCAAGTGCTGCGGCTATTGATTGCTTTTTCAGAGTTTTTCTTTTGGTGCAACATTCCATTTGGGTTTGCAGGAATACGTTTAACTCCCTCTTTTTTTGTACATTTCTTTGCAACACTCTCGACCCTGCGAATTACCTTTTCGCATTTGAATAATAAATAATAATTACTAGTCATTGTATTACGTGCTTTGCTCCACTTTCGAGACCTAGATAAGCCTAATTCAAGAGTCCAAGCCAAGAAGTCTTTCACTCCTCCCGCGCATTGCATGTCAAATGGGAATCGATTCATCGATCGAAAAACGAATAAATATGGGAAATCGTTTTGCCAATTGCAGTTGGCGCGGGACTGTTATTAACAATCTATTCTAGGTGCTTGGTTATCGGTATGGGAAGACCCCCCCCCCGTGTGGGTTCATTTTTTTGTACTCACCTTTCGCCATCGTCGTTGAACGAGAAATCGCCCAGCAGCAGATCTCGGAAACGATAACGTGGTTGTATAATGCGTGACATGTTGTTACTGCTGATGTTTGTGGTTGGTATGGTTGGTACTTTCAGCTCATTGACTGCTCCAGCCCCGCTTGTCTCGCTGCACACTTGAAGCCCGTCACTAAAGTCCGTTACATTAATTAAACACTCATTGGGGGCTGCGTAAACGGCACCTAGCAGCGGCTGCTGCTGCTGCTGCTGCTGTTCCTGTTCCTGTTCCTGCTTTTGGTCCTGCTGCGGTTGCAGACGCCTTCGTCCTGGCAACGACAAGCCAGCGATGAGCTCATCGTCACGGGGCGCACTTGTGCCCGTCAGCAAGTAGCCGCCACTGGCCCGATTGGGCCGCGGCGAGCGTAGGCGCGTCCACAGATTGGCGAATGTCCTTCTTTACGCACAATGCCCCAGACCCCGCAACTTCACAGTACACAGCAGCTAACCGCTGACGTTGACGCTGACTCGCACTCTGATGGTTCCTTAATTAAAGCGATTGCACGGTTACAATTTATTAGCATAGCAGCAATCTTGCGACAGGTGCTGGCGCTGGTGTTTGCTCAAATATCGATTCCAGCTCGTGCATGGCTCTGAAAAAACATTGAAAGAAAACATTAAGAAAATTGGGTTAAGGCGCGCTGCCAAAAGTGTTGCAATATTCAAATAATTCAAATGAATAATCCCTCGCTTTTGTTTGGGCTGGACCCTATAAATCTCAACTGCTGGTTGTCGTGGCATGCACGTCAAAGAGCAACAAATTCAATTCAAACAACACTCTTAAACCAGGACAAAGGACGTAAAAGTAAAAACAAACAAAACACACACCAGCCAGTTGGACATGTGTGTGGGCGTGGAGACCCAGAGGAGCTTCAGCATCGGGGCCTATTATTTACAGGCTGCCTGCCTGCCAAATCAAATCAACTCTCAGACAATGAACGAACGGACGAACGACTGAAGGAGCTGCTGCGATGCTGTGCGATGCGGAATGGAATGGAATGAAATGCCTGCCTGCCTGCCTGCCACTTGAGGCACTCGCCTCCACTCCACCACTTGTTGTTGTCTGTTTGTGAAAAATTTACGCGATTATTGCCGCCAGGTGCGCCCCGCTCCGTTGCCTGCTGCAAAGCGCTAAATAAATTTCCTCTGCCTTTGTTTCGCATATTAATTAGATTTGCTACGCAGTGTCCCTGTCCCTGTGTCCTTCCATCTGTCGTCTCCATTCTCTGGCGCATTTTTATGTATATGCCAGCGAAATATTTTACTCAAAGTGTGTTTTAATTAGTTACAGCAAATTAGCGCTGCAGAAATTAACAAATTTGTATCCAGGCAGCGGCTGTCTTCGGTTTTGTGCCGCTGCCGCTTCGTTGGCAAATTAGATTTGCAATTAGATTTATAGTTTTCTCTCGTCGCATTAAAGTTGTAGTCCGCTAAAGCGTACATCATTTTCAAGGTAGGACAAGCAGGAAAAATCGTACTAAAGTGGAAGATTTGATTCGTTTTTTAGATGGGAAAATGAGGCAAACATCTGCCTGATTCTGATCAACATTACTCAATGGTATGCCATGTAAACACTACAAAAACATTCACGGCACACACACACACACCGGATATTTGTTTACGGCCAACAAATGGACAATTGTTTTCGTTTTACACGTATTTTAAATATTTACCTTTTATTTATTGTGCAATTTTAGATATTCAAATGCTGCTCTGAAATCAATTTCACAGTGGACATTTGTGAAACTTTTTCACACATTCTACATGAATTCTACAGCCATAAACTCCACCCAAAAATATGCAATGAAATTTCGAGAAATGCAAGAAAACAACTATTATTTATGTACATGCAGAAATGCATAAATATAAAGAGATTTAATAGGGGGTAAAAAACATTCACCGACACCCGAAATCAATCAAGACAAACGTTCACATTTATGGTCAAAGTCGTGGCTTTTATTTGGTTTACTTAAGTTTTATTTTTATTGCTCTTTCAGGGATTGGGAAATGGTTCTGTTTACTAGAATGTGCCCAAATTTGAATGAAATTTCGTGTATACATATTTGTGGCCACCTCAGTATTGATTTGGTTTCCAGGATATCCTGCACCGTGCGAAAAACCCATTTAATTTCTAATCATTATTTATGGGGGATGCCACCGCACTAAATGAGTCTGCCCTTTTGTGGTGCGAGCAAAATAATATCTAAATAATATCTTAATTATGTTTTGGCCCACGCATACTGGTGGATGGATACTTTTGGGACTCGTCTCGGACAGATAACAAATTATTGTTCACCACGAAACGGGCTGAATGGAGCAGGGCTGACTGGAGCTGCATCCAATATATTTCCAAAAAGAAAACTTTCATTTTGTTTACCGGAAGGTGGGGTTGGAGTTTTGGGTGCCCGTTTTTTAGGCTCATATTTTCTTCGCTTACGTGTGTAAGTATGCATGTAAACATGTGTTTGTGTGTGTGTGTGTGTGTGTGAGTTTTCATCAACAATAATTAGCCAGACGCGCTGTCGAGCCATCCTCCTCCTCCTCTTTCGCCTAGTCTCAAGCCTTTCGCGTGTCGTGTCCCCTAACCAGTTTGGCCTTACTTTCCCATCATCATCATCATCATCATCATCATCATCATAATCATTATCATCCACACCACGGCACGGGGGCATTGGGGGGGGAGACTTTGTTTTTTTTGGCGTCTTTGTTTTTCTTGGGCTTTATTATTCTTTGTCCTACACAATGTCCCACAAGAAAGTCGCACAAGTTGTCTCTGCCACAAGTATTAACCAAAGGACCCCCGAGCAGCTAAACAAGTCCCACATCCGCGGTGGCGCCGCGCACAGCTCTCTCCTCCCCTGCATCCACCCCAGGTATTATTATTTTTTTCGTTGCTTTATTTTCTTTTTTGCGGCACTTGGAATATTTTATAACAAAAAACTTGACCCGCTTTCCGTACATCCAGCGAGTACCCCTCTCCTTCGTGCCTCCCCCCCCCCCCCCCTGGTTCTTCATCAGCCGCTGCTGACTTATTGTTTTATCATTGTCGCTCTTCAGCTTTGTCTCTGTCTTGCGCTCTCTCTCCTCTCACTGTGTCTCCTCTGCTCACTCTTTGTGTCCATCTCCCCTTCGGATTTGCTTAATCCCAGCTCTCTTGCACTTTCCTTCTTCCCCTTTTTATAAGCCGGGAAGCGGCGCTTAATTAAAATTAACATTTCATGAAGGGCAGGCAGGTGGAGAGGAGACCAGAGGATGCGCGCTCTCCCAACAAAAAACAAAATAAAAGTTTGTTTAATCGTTTTATAAATATTTAAGGCTTATGGCTACCCCCGATCTGGCTGTCCGCCTGTCTGTCTAGAATTTTGTCCCCTTTGCTGACTTTTCATTTTTCAATTACCACCCATTCCCACCATCCCCAAACAAATTGATCTCCACTAAGCTCGAAATTATATTTGGATGTTTTATTCGTTTTCAATTTGGGTGTAAAGTGTGATGGTCTCAGATTAAGCGCTTACTTATTTATCCCATGTTTAATTTACTGAATAAACGGCAATTTAAAAGGTATCTTTGTATCTACAATATTGCATGATAATTTTTGGTAGAATAAACCGTAATTTTCAATGCTATGTGCAGTGCACCCAATATTTTAACCACGAGTGTAAAATTGATGCCTAGCGTATGTGTCGTCCGTTTATTTGTTTGTGTGACAGTCGTAATTGAATGCATTATTCAATGGACAATATTTGCTCGTACCTTTTTGTGGCGCTTTAACACTTTGCCGGCCATTGGGGGGACGAGCAGCGGAGATGTAAATGTCTTGGCATATTTTATGAGAACAGCGAGAAGCGAAACTTTTTTGGGGAAAACTTCGGTCTGGTCTGGTCTGGTCTGGTCTGTGGCTGTTTGTTGCATTTATCGTTACATTACAGCTGGACACAAAACTTTTGTGGACCCTTAAGATTCTGCAGGGCAGAGGTCGTTCCGGGACACGCACAAACGATCAGATCAAGCGGGGGGTGTTGAGATGATTTGTTCACCGTTTCTTTCTTACACACTCACACCTCACACTCACTCCACGTACACGTACACGTACGTTCACACACTCCCACGCGGACGGAAGAGTGTTAAAGAAAACGCGGCGATAGGTAGGCCCGTGAATTGTAGTACATGGTGCGGGGGAGGGGAGGAGCAGGACGAGCAGTTAAAGTTGTTCCCTTTGTTGTGTAGTTTGTCCAAATGGGAGGCGGCACAAAACACGGAACGTCGAATATATAAGCCTCAACTCGAGCTTTGTTAACCGTTATTTTCCTGCAAAACGACCGCACGCGCTCAACGACAATTTTGAACTGGAAGCCTGGCGGCCAGAAAGCATGAAAGAAGCACCAGGAAACGTACGGCGTGCGTGGGAGGCAGGTACCGCTTATCAAAAACATCTGACTCGCAAACCGAAAGCTTTATCCAGCAAAGCTCTGCTCTACAGTGGCGTCTGATATGTTGAGGCAGGTCCGCAGCAAACGTTCGTTCCGTTGCTTATTTTAGTTATTCTTAAAAGTACAGTTGCTTTGGTGCAAAATTATATTTATTAGATTGTTAAATGGCACAAAAGTGATGCATGAAAATGTGTTTAATACAATATCTAAAAATATGCAAGAGGAATATGAGTAATTCTCTAATAGTTCTCTGTGGTGCGTACGTAGTTGACGCCGGAGGGCATGGAGACCTTGTCGAAGCCCTTGGGGAACAGCTTGTTGGCCTCTTCGTCTGTGACTGTGGGCAGGATCATGACCTTGGTGCCAGGCTGCAGAAAAAACACATATCATAGTCAGTCTGGAGATCCATCAGCTGCCTTAGATTCAATACTCACAGTCCAGTTGGCTGGAGTGGCCACCACCTTGAGGCGATCGGTCAGCTGCAGCGAGTCGATGGTCCTCAGAATTTCACTGCAATGCAGATTCAGATTAGAACGGACACTAGAGGAAGCTTTGAGCGGAATACTCACTCAACGTTGCGGCCAGTGGACATTGGATAGAACATGGAGAGACGCACTTTGTGATCGGGGCTAATGATGAACAGCGCCCGAATGGTCTTGGCCACCTCGGGGTCCTTCTTCTGCTCCTCGTCCAGCATGCCCAGGCTTACGGCCAGGTCTCGGGTGGGATCGGCCACGATTGGGTACGGAAAGTCGCCGGGAATGTCCAGGCAGTAGCTCTTGATGTCGTTCACCCAGTCGACGTGCGAGTTCAGAGCGTCCACGGAATGCGCCAGGCACTTGGTGTTCCGCTTGGCGAACTCCGGCTGATGCACCGCGATGCGTCCCAGCTCAGTGGTGCACACGGGCGTGAAATCGGCTGGATGCGAGAACAGCACAACCCATCTGGTTTCGTACGAATATCGTGATTTAGTGGGACTAGAAATTGATGCAATTTGAATGCTACTCACGAGTCTCCCTGCCACTCATGAAAGTTGATCGGCCCCTTGGTGGTGTCGGCGTGGAAGTTAGGTACAGTCTGTCCCAAACGCATTTTGCACAATTTGTTGTTTAGTTTTTACTACTTTGGAAACCTGTTTAGCTCGCTTGCTAGTTTGTATCTGCACTGAATACCCATTGAGCGGTGTCGCGTGCTTTTATATCCGCCAGACTCGAATCGGCTCAGGCAGAGCGACAGAGAGAACGAAGCAGAGAGCGAGATCGACGCTGCCCTGCCTTATCGCATGTTTATGGTTGTGTGTACGTAGATTATATTGAATAACAAGCGATTCCAAGCATCTGCTTTTGAAGAGGGGGGAAGGTGGCTCATACACATGTTTGGACGTATTCAGAACCTTATGCAAGGCCTCTATACCCATAAAAATACTTCTAATGAGGAAACTTTTGTTTTGCTTTTGCTTCTAGCTTGCCTCGCCCAAAACGAGAACTTGAAATTTCTGGACTTTGTGATGAAACTCGTGATCAGCTCATGCAAAAGTACAGTTTGCCTCATCTTTTCTATATTTCCTATTCGAATTCGTTTCAAATTAGCAAAGCTCCAGGGAAAGAATGCATCCCTTCAGGTATTCCTTTGCCAAGCAGCTGTGGAAACAGCTGATCCCTCTCCGGCCGGGAACCGGCTGCAAACATTAACAGAGAGTCCAAACAACAAAAGAGAGCGATCAAATGAGCATTGGTGTTGGTGTTTAGCCTACAATTACCAACACCAGCTCACTTTTGTTCTCACCACACAGCGCTCTGCCACACGGACAGTTGGCGTGTGATTCCAAAGAGAGCGGCGCGCTGTGTAGTGGTGTTGGTGAGGGCCCGTAGAATCACGTACACAGACAAAGGTTTACGCTCTCCACGGGCACACGGACAGGAACGAGCCTCCGGTTCGTTGCGTTTCTGCACAAGAGAGAGTCAATTTGTGTGGCTGTGTGGGTGAACCTCAGGGAAATCCTCCATACCAGAAGAAGAGTGCTCTCCATTTGGTGTTCACGGATAGAAGCATTTGAGTTTTGTCCAGACAGAGCACTGCCTCTTAAGGTTCCGAAGAAAACAGACTGTTCCACAGCTGGACAAGTGAAATGGAAACCTACAAACCTTCGGAAAAGGGAATCTGTAGCATGGATGCATAGCTGGATATGTGGTATCGACAACGGCAATGGATACCGCCAGACCACAGCCAGTCGAAGGTCATTTGGAGGAGACTTCTTGGTGCATCTGAGTTGCAACCAGCCCAGTCTTTCCGTTTAGTGGAAAATTCTTCCATTTCAGAGTGAAATCTAAGACGCAAAAACAATTGCTTCCATCGTAAATTCCCTGGTAGTTTTCCACTCGCCTCTGTTTATCATCGTCCAACGCGTTGTTTGTCAGAAAAAAGCAACAACGATCGCGAAGAAAGAGACGAAAGTACTTGGAGAGAGGGGAGAGGGAACGTGTTGCTTTAAAATAGCGTGGCGAGATTAACAAAGAGAGGGAGAGAGATAAACTGACATTCAGAGGCAACCAGTTTTAAACAGTGATGTCGAAAATAGCCAAATAAGCCAAAACAAGCTAAGCAAATCAAGCACAATATCTGCTGTTACATTCTACATGATATAGACATGCATTCAACAGCCGTCGAACAGATGTTCGTAGATCGCTGATATTCTTACATATTCATATTAATTTTAGTTTCGCAAGCTTACTAGCACCTTTAGCACCGAAAATGTAGTTTTGACCAAGAAAATGATCAATTTACCACAATATTTGCTAATTATGAGTACTATTTTTAATAAAAATCTTCATAAAATATGGGTTAAAACAAAACGACCGAGCTGAAACTAACCATGTTCTTGCGCTGTTAAATTCTATTTATAAGGAATCACATCAAAATAAGTCCTTAAATGTAGCCAATAAGGCAGTTCGTGTACATAAAAGTTGGATAAAATTATATTTTCAGTGCTAAAAGTGCTAGCTAGCTAGCAATATTAAGCAGAACATCAAAATAGAAGAATATGATTTAAGACTACGGTATATTTTGAAAACGAGATGGCTTACGTTGGTCTATTTTATCGATAGTTTCTCTGGAAACTAGGGCTGGGAAAACATCGATAGTGGCCACCATAGATAGTGGAAACTATTTATGGTGAAACCACACGATAGTATCTATCCAACAATCTGAAACCTCAATAAAAAATGTGAAAATTTCATACATTTCAACCATAATTCGTGGATTTCATACTTCCATGAGACATAGAAAATACATGAAAGTAAAGTTATCCAGTCCCAAAAGGATAATTAACTCGAAAAATGTATTCTATTTCATTGCCAAAAGAATATCTGACGCTTTGCTGAAAATCCGTTAAGGCTCTGTTGAGGTGGCAGGAATAAACATACATACCCGCTATTTTTAACATATATTCAATTTACCATCCAACCGGGCTATACATTACACCCGCTCGGACGCGTGTATACAAGGTCACCCAAATAAGAGCATAATTTTTTAATTAACTTAGCATTCCTGGTAATACAAGCCTTGAAGGTCGATACTATCGATGGTGAACCGTAATAGTCGGTGGTTGGCTTATTTTTCAACCATCGATAGTATCGATGGAACTATCCAGTTTCTCCCAGCCCTAGTCGTGCGACCATCAAATTCGCTGTAGCGATTAAATACCAAAAATAAAACAAATCAAAATTAAAAAAAAGTTTAAAAAGTGCGTAGCCACTACTAAAAGGTAACTAACTAGTCGTGAACATTAACTGCAAGATTCGGGCCAATGGCAACGATTGCAATTCAGACAAACCCATAAGCAAATTCACAATATTTCATTGTCCCAGCAAAATTTTCTTCTCCATTGTACGTGTATTTGTGTGGACAGTGACTCGTTGGTTAGAGGGAAAACAAAGAAAACGTCGAAAAAGAACGACGTAAAAACGCATTGCAAAATCATTATATTCCGTTCAAATGTTGTTAAATTAACGTTGTTGCAGAGCACGGAAAAGTAAACTAATTTTAATTGTATTGATTTTTTGCCTTGGCTGCATATTCTTGTGCATGTAGTTGTTGTTGTTGCTGTTACTGCTGCTGCTGCTGTTGCTCTAGTTGTTGTTCCTTGTTGTCGTTGTTGTTTATGTTATTGGTGCTGCAGCTGCGCGTCGAAACTGTAAATTTTGTTCTTGTTTGGTTGGAGATGCAATAATTGTTGCTGTTATTTTGGGTCAGAGCTGCGTCGCAGTCGCAGCAGATAAGCAAAGTGAAGAGAAGAGAAGAGACAGGAGCGAGAGAGAGCAAGCGAGCGAGCGAGCGGGCCAAAGCGTGCAATAACGAAAGAGAGCCTGTGAGCGAGGGAGACGGACGGAGTAACGGACAAAGGACACTGCATTTTGAGGTTGATGTATGCTGCCTGCCTGCCTGCCTGCCTGTCAGCCCTTCCTCCCACCATGCCTACCCCCCCACCGTATACACACAGCATCCTCTCACAGCACACGCAGAAATAGAAACAGAAAGAAAGAAAAGTCATCAGCACTCAAAATGATTTTCGTTCGTGTTCGCAGCGTTCTCTTCTTCTAACTGTGCTTCTTCCCCGTGCCCCGCCACAAGTAACTCTCAAGTACCGCGCATTCAATAGTCATGGACAACGACAACTACGAGCATCCGAACTTGTCCTCGGATAACAGCAGCACCAGCAGTGGCAGCAGAGGGAATTCAGCAGCAGCAGCAGCAGTTGCAGTACAAGTTGCAGCGGTAGAAACAGCAGCATCAGCAGCAGAAACGCCAGCCACAGTCGGAGGCTCCAATGAGCCCATGAGTGAATCCTCCTCTCCTTCCTCCTCCTCGTCCGTCCCACACCCCCAGTCATTCAGTGCAGCCATTTTATTTAACATTGATACAGAAGAAGACGAAGAAGGAGCTCATGACCATTCATCGCATGATCATCACTCTCCTACTCCTCCTTTTCGCCAGACTGCAACGCAACCCGCAACAGCGCCACAACTGGAGCCACAGCCCGAGGAGCAGCAGCAACAGCCGGTCGGGCCAGAGATAGAAATAGAGCCAGAGCCGGAACCGGAGCAACATCCGCAGCAGCAGCACCTCCAACTGGAGGACGGGGACTCCGACTCGGAGCCAGAGCGAAGTCCACAACAGCATCAGCTGCAGCCAGTGGACACAGACGCCAGCGCGATTGCGGATACCATTGACGCCGGTGCCATTCCCAACGAAGCCGTGGAGCGCATCGACGATTTCGAGGACGACGACGACGACCTCGAAGAGGGCGACGACGCTGTCTCCGCTCCGCGCGACGTCGACGACCAGGCCCCGTCGACATCCGCTGCCACCCAAAGGCTGAGCTCGGTTGCCGTCCTGCCGACCCATTCGGCTGCCGCCACCATCGCCGGTCAGAGCGCCAGCCGTGCCTCCCTAAACCAACAGTTGCGTGCCCCGCTCCCTGCCCCCGACAATCACGCCGCCAGTGCAGCTGCCGTCGACGATCAGGATCAGGAGAACGACAGCAATAACAACAACGCGGCCGCAGCTCGACGCACTCGTCATTTCTACAGCAACAACGGGAGCCGCTTCACCAACGACATGTTCCCCGGCAACTGCCCCCAGAAGAGCTCGAACCAGAGCTCGCCCCGCTCCGGCGGAGGACGTCACCAGTCCACACAGCAGGGCGTGGATCCGCTGCGTCTGCTCTATCCCAATGTGAACGAGACCGAGACTCCATTGCCGCGCTGCTGGAGTCCACACGACAAGTGTCTGTCGATAGGGCTGTCGCAGAACAATCTGCGCGTCACCTACAAAGGTGAGTGCCAAGCTACCCATTGCTCCCACTCCCACTTGAAAAGGACCCCCTGTAGTGTCCCATTACGGGCACACTGAAAAACCTCGCAGAAGTAGGAGCAGACGCGTGCAACGATAAACGATGCACTTTGATGGCATGGTCATTCGATGTGCCTGCAGTTGTCCCGCTCTTCCGCACCAGCTGTGCTGTGGCTTTTGTTTTTCAGCACTCACTTCTCCCACGCTCATTCGCGTGGCTGTGGAACAGGCAGACCAGCGTGCTGTGCTGTTGGCGCAGAATGTTAACCAACATAACAGCTGAGCGAGCTACGTGAGGTGTTGTGTAGGTGGCGCCACTGCCACAACAGAAATGGGGAAATTAAAAATGTAAATTGCAAATTTATTAATGAAAACGTTTCTCGTTACAGGCGTGGGCAAACAGCACAGTGATGCCGCCTCCGTGCGCACCGCCTACCCGATCCCATCCTCCTGTGGGTTGTACTACTTCGAGGTGCGTATCATCTCGAAGGGCCGCAACGGCTACATGGGCATCGGCCTTACCGCCCAGCAGTTCCGCATGAACCGCCTGCCAGGTATGTGTCCAGAGGGTTAGTTAGGGACAATCCCTCGTACTTCCTAATGACCGCATTCCCCATTCACCCAAGTAGGTTGGGACAAACAGTCGTACGGCTACCATGGGGATGACGGCAACTCGTTTAGCTCCTCGGGCAATGGCCAGACCTACGGACCGACCTTCACCACCGGCGACGTCATCGGCTGCTGCGTAAACTTTGTGAACAACACTTGCTTCTACACAAAGAACGGCGTGGACTTGGGCATCGCATTTAGGGACTTGCCGGTGCGTACTCGAAATACCGTCCACCCACCCGTCCACCCCCGGCTAACCTCCATTCACGCGTATTTTCACAGACCAAGCTCTATCCGACAGTGGGTTTGCAGACGCCCGGCGAGGAGGTGGATGCCAACTTTGGCCAGGAGCCGTTCAAATTCGACAGAATCCTGGACATGATGAAGGAGATGCGCGCAAATGTTTTGCGCAAAATCGACAGATATCCACATCTGCTGGAGACGCCGGAGAACCTAATGAATCGGTGGGTGCTGCAGCAAAAAGCATTTCCAGTTTCAATCATTAATCGTAGTCCATTCAATATTTTCAGCCTGGTCTCCACCTATCTGGTGCACAATGGCTACAGCAAGACGGCCGATGCCTTCAATGGCTACACGAATCAGCCATTCGACGAGGACTTGGCCTCCATCAAGACGCGTCAAAGTCAGTAGTAGTCAGCTCCCTTGTGGCATCAAGGGGAAACTAATCAGCTTTCATCTTGCATATTTCCAGAGATCATCAAGCTTATACAGACTGGTAAAATGAGCCAGGCCATTGAGCATACGCTGCGCTCGTATCCCGGCCTGCTGGAGACCAACAAGAATCTGTGGTTCTCCCTGAAGTGTCGTCAGTTTATCGAGATGATCAATGGAGCTGACATCGAGGTGAGTCGTAGCACGGAGCGATTAAACGTAACAACATTCCCATTGTTCTTTGTGTCTTGGCAAACCCAACAGCAGGGCAACAATAAAGTGACAGCCACCACACAGACCATGCCCACAAATCAGACCTCCGTCATACAGTCAACGAAGGCGTTCAAGCACAGCAAGGGCGGCAACAGTAGCAACAATAGCAACAACAGCAGCCACAGCCAGAGCCAGAGCAACCAGCCACAACAACAGAACAACACTGCAATTCCAGCTGTGATAAAATTAGAGAGCGGCGAAAAGCAGGATCTGAAAAAGTTCGTTAACGTCTGCTTTGGTGTTTGCTTTGGCAGACTTTCATGTCTTCATCTCTTGCAGCCTGGTCATGGATGACAACTCGAACAAGTGTGCGGATCATGACACCAACAGCATGGATGTGGAGATGGAGCCGTGCCAGAGCCACTCTAACGGCGGTGACTCGTGCTCCAATGGCAATGCCAATGCCAATGCCAATGCCAGTGCCAGTGGAGTGCGCAACTCTTTAGATGCCATCGACGAGGAAATGGGTATAGAAATAGAAAAATCAGAAACCAGAAAGAGAATCAAGCTAATAAAGGTTGCCCAAACGCACCCAGATGTAGACGTGTCGCCCTCATCGCGCAGCTGTGGTCGTGTCATCGAGAAGATACTCGAGTTCGGCAAGGAGCTGTCCAGCATGGGACAGCAGCTGGAAAAGGAGAACCTCATGACTGAGGAGGAGCGTCAAATGTTGGAGGTAAAATAATCAGCACCTCAGCACTTCCCTTCTACAACGATTTTGTTTCTATTTCGCAGGATGCATTTAGCTTGATTGCCTACTCAAACCCATGGTCCAGTCCGCTCGGCTGGCTCTTGTGCCCCTCGCGACGTGAAAACGTCTCCACCACGCTCAATTCGGCCATATTGGGTGAGTCTCTTGGTCACTTATACCACTTTCCTGATGCATTATCACGCTCTCCGGGATCCGTTTCACTTGCAGAGTCGCTAAATTTCGAGAGACGTCCACCGCTGGAGTTCCTGGTGGCGCATGCATCCGAGCTAATCAAGCTGATCGGTCAGCATTCGCTGGGCGAAGATGCTTTCATTACCATCGACGATGTGTTCCCGCAAAATTGACCCAGTTCGCCGACGCTGCTGAAGATGTTCGAGACGACGCTGACCCTGCCGCGCACCAGCGTACTGAACGAACCGCTGGGCAGCGTAGTACCCTCCACATCGACCGCGGCGGTGGCTGTGCAGACGACCAAGCGACGCCGTCGTCGTCGCAATAAAAGGCGACGCAAGTCCTCTCTGTCCGGCAGCACCGAAGCGTCCTCATCCCGCACCTACGATCCTGTCATGACGGGCAGCAGCAGCAGCATGCGTAGTACGGGTGGGGTTGGTCCGGGTGCCATGCGTCGTGGTCGTTTTCGTGGGGTCAGCTCATCCTCATCATCAGCAGCAGCGGCGGCGGCAGCAGCAGCGACAGCAGTAGCAGCGTCTTCGGCGGCATCAGCAGCCGCATCCATGAGTGGCGGAAGCAGTCCTTCGATGTATATTGATCCGCAGGACTACTTCGAGACGCTCGACTAGATTATTAAACAATTTTTCGTAATAGGTTAAATTTTGTTGTTACTTCAGTTCTCCTTTTTTACCATCAGAGAAGCCCCCCATTAATGTCCATCTTTTAACTGATTCATTTTGCTAGAGAGATGCGCGACATCTGCAGTCGGAGCTACGGAGTCGAGCGACTATTTGCGGCCTTTTGATTTAGCGTGATTTTTTAATAACTTTTAACGTATATTTTATATAGCCCCTGTAAGCATAAAGTGTGTAATATTATGATGTATAATTAAATTGCTGCGAACTGTGCTGCGTCACGAACCCTGGAAATTCACTTTCAACTTAAGCAATTGCCTTCTGTTGGTTTTTTTTCCCGACACGCCCGCACCCAAGTCCCATTCACAATCTGAGAGCAAACCATACAAAACCCGAAAACCAAAAGAAATGGAAAACTTAAGTAAAAAGCAGTTCAGTCATTTATGTAGCATGTTAATAGAGAATCAACCTGTCAATAGTTAATTGTTCGTAGACTACTCACACTCCTCTCTCTCAATGCTCTGTCTCTATCTGCCACACGATCACCAGTTGCCGGAGATGTGTCCAGTGCAACGCGGAACTATTCATCAGTTTCACAAGACAAGACAAGGCAAGACTAAGCCAGGCATCAGCAAAGTTTTAAGTGTAACATTTCGCTATAGTGATGTAAGCCAATAACATTTACTCTATATATAAAGGTCGAACATACACGAGCGTACGGCAAGCATGAATTCAATTAACTGGATAATCGTTTAAAATATATTGTATGGATGTGTATTTCAGGAAGTGCAAATTGTGTTTCAACTGGGACTAGGGGTGAGGGCAATGGAAACCATGAATCCGTTTCCTACAGTAATTATTGCAAGCAATTCAGTGCTTTAGTTAAACAAACAAATACATATATTTATAATGTGCTGTGAAATGCCATTCATATATCTGGATTGACATCAAAGCTCCCCCTACAAGTCTGGCTGCCGTATACGCTGCACGCGCTCCTCGTTCTTCACATGCTGCTTAAGCATTCGCATTATTTCCGTATCGTACTCCGGCGGCGTGGGCTTTGTTTCGGTGGCCCAGTAGAATATGTCCCAGTCATTGCTCACGCCATTGATGAGCTCGTCGTACTGGGCTGTCTGGTCGGCGGAGAAGTCTCTCAGGTGCTTGGCCACAAATGTGCTGAGGAGCAGATCATTCTCCAGCATGCCACGCTTCCGACTCTGATACAGCAGCCTGGAATGGATTGGACAATAGGACCTTGTTCTTGCGCCTGATATGCACCAGACTTACCTCTGCTTTCGCGTCTCTAGTGGCTCGTCAGGTCGGACTGGGTACTCAGGCACTGGCAAATGCGGCGGATCATCATAGTCCACTATCTGCGAGGGAGTTGTAAACTCAGTTTTGTCCAGGGTGCCACTGGCAAAGCGGTGTGTGGCGACTATGGGTAGCACCACTCGACGCGAGACTGCGCTGATCTGAAGGGAAGTACATTGCCTTTAATTCATGCCGGATTTGGAGTCTCTAACTTACCAAAAATTGCCGCAGCATGATTAATTTATAAACAAAACAAAAAAAAAACAGTGATATAACCTGGAGGTGGAGAACTATCGATGGCACTATCGGTACTATAATTGGTTGGACACTTCGATAGCTCACTATCGATGGTTTAAAGTTTTGATAGTGGTCGATAATATCACGAGAGTTTCAAAAATAAATAAATAACTTTATAATAAATTAAAAAAAAATACTAAACAAATGGTATACATTAAAAAAACAATTTTCTATTGCGACTACAGACTACTATCTACGGTTTAATATTTAATATTGTGCACTATCGATGGTGCCCACTATCGAAAGTTCCCCAACTCTCGTGACGAAATTATCGATAAAATATACTGTAAATATACCGTAAGTCTTAAATCTTTTCCTCAACTTTGATCGTCTGTTTAATATTAATAGCTGGTTAGGAATCTCAGCTTTACAAATTTAGTTTTACTCGAATTATCTGTTAATTCTCCACAGGATTGGTTAATTTTCATGACATATCTTTATAGGATTATAATTCCATTCCTGATTCAAGGAAGGTGAAGCAGATAGAATATTTCCAATGAAAAATCAGCTTCTTAAATACATACCGAAATATACCTCTTGAAAAATAAACCTGCCGTATAGTAGTTTTAATAATATACACTCGTTTAATTTATTTATGAAATACATCATTGTATACCGATATTCCGTTATTGTGTCCTGGCCTTAATTTTGACGGTATTCAGAAATGTATAAGGTTTTCCAGGATTTGGCGCGACATTATTTAAAAAATAGTTCATATCAAGGCAGTGCTGGAAAGCTCACGAGTTCGTAGCACAGTGCTGCATAACAACAAAGAACAGCTGTTCTGGAGTCTAAAAACTCTGTTAACATAAATGTGTACACCGAACGCCATTTAACACGAGTGTGATGACTATTTGCAGGCTGTTCAATCGCTGTTAAGTAGTGGAGGAAACCCATGTTATTGTTATGTTAACCGACGCGGGCGGAGCGAGAGGCAGGAAAATTTTCGCACTGGAAAAGTTTGATTTATTAGTTATTGAGGAATAAATAAAGTGCAGTGCTCCACAGTGCAACGGTAATTGTCTCGATCAGCTAGTGTGTGTGCATCGAACGCCCCAAATGCGTTGAAAAAGCAAAGAACGCTGTGGAAGAGGAGAGCGTGTGGTAGAAGGGTGCAGGGTGCTCTTCTGCTCTGCTCTCTGCTCGTGTGCAAGTGTTGTGTGTATACGGCGCTGGAACTGCGGCGGTGGAAAATGCTTTACCTCCCACGGGGGGTGGTGGGGTGTGGGCTCGGCTCAGCCTGTGTGCCTGTGCAGCCCGTGAGAGTGCGTAGTGTGTGCGTGAGCGTGAGCTAAATGAAAATGTATACGAAACACCACCCAGCCAGCAGAACCCCACCACCCTAGGCCTGGGCAGGCGGCGGCGCACCCACGCAAGTCCATGTCGAGTTTGCATAAAAAACGCATAAAACTACAGTATTTTCTGCATAATTGAATTGATGGCGAAAAGCGCTGCTTTTTCACACCCCGCAGCATCGAATCATCCATCGCGTTCCCCGTCCCCACCCACAGACACTCGACCCATCCGCCTGTAGAGCCGGCAACCGCCGCCTACGCCCTCGCCTAATACATACACACAGAACAGCCAAAAGCAAAAAAAAAACACGAAAAAAAGAACAAGAGCAAAAAAATAGGGAGCAGGAAAATGCCCCTAGCAGGACTCTGTATAGAGAGCTCTATTCCAGTGCTTAATTCATTTACATGATAAATTACCAAGCAGCCCCGCGTATCTCAGTATCTCCGTATCCGTATCTCGTCTGGCACCATCGTTGATATCTACCGATCTGGCGATAGATAGCCACCACCCCACCCCCAATAGCACTGATAAGATTGATGAATTATTTCCATATATACATATATTTGTGTATATATTCTGCATTTCGTATATTCCGACCATATGCAAATTGGCCAGCTATCGTTGTTTTTGCCTCGGCGCTCTGTGACCGAGAGAGCTGATAACAACAAAAGCAACACCACCACTGTAAGCAGCAGTGCGCGCCCTATTGGACAGCCGAGACAGTGGCGGCCAAAAAGAGTGGCACACATCCCGCCACATCCATCCATACAGTGGTGTCGTGTCGCGTCGTCCTTGTCTGCTGCCCCGTCCGGTCACGTCACTGTGTGCGTGTGTGAGTCATGCCGTTCCGTGCGTCTGACCTGTCCGTTCATTAGAGATTGTTTATGGGATAACGACAACAACGACGTTGATGATGATAACGAGGATGATGATGGTAGTGTCTTTTCCCATTGCAAACAATTCCAAATTCCGTTTCAGCTGAACTGTAAAATTGTACATACCTAAATACATAAGTAAATGTTCTCATAAGAGAAATCGTGAATCGGAAAATCGCCTACTCTTAGTCGCCCATCCTCCATTCCACCCCAAAATAATCCGACGAGCAGCAGTGCAGGAGGAGCAACATCAGCACAAACATCAGCCAATCATCAGGAATCACCATCAGAGCCATCACAATGGGCTGCACTACCTCCGCCGAAGAGCGCGCTGCCATACAACGGTCCAAACAGATCGAGAAGAACCTCAAGGAGGATGGCATCCAGGCGGCCAAGGACATCAAGCTGCTGCTGCTGGGTAAGTGCAAAGGAAATGCGTTTTCCACATTACCCCCCATCTCTCCCCCAATTTACCTTTTCCGGTAATGCGGCAATGCTCTAATGGAAATTGCCCTTTATCAATCCGAGATTTCGAGGCCCTTGAGTTCGCTGGAAAATTATATTTTCGGTTTTATGTGCTGATAGATGGGGCAATATTTATCGCGCACTTTCACTGCGTACAGTGGGCAGGAGGTGCATTTTTGTGTATAGTGAGGTGAAAGAATAAAAAAATATAAAGAACGAATAGGCAGATCTCTCCCTACAAATCCTTGCCCTTGGTATTTATTCACCCAAAACGTTTATCACCTGACACGGATGATGCATCAATGCCATGACAAAACTATTCTTGGCGTGTTTTTGGCCAAGGCCAAACCACAAAACCCGGCTACAGGGCACATCGCATTTAGGTCAACTCATCTGGTTGCATGTCGAATTACTTTTACGACTTGGATGGATGTCACGAACCACTGTGCGGACAGCTGCAGCAGCAGCAGCAGCAACAGCAACAGTTGCATCTGCTTTTGGGGCTAGACAAGTGTGAAGACTAAACACTTTCGAGGAGCCATGTGGCGGCGCTGGCGCTGTGCCCTCGCCTCAAGTGTCGCTGCATCGGCAACGGCATCGGCATCGGCATTAGCTGCATCCGCATCCGCAGCCTTAGCCTTAGCCGCGTTGCAAGCATCCGCCAGCGAGTGGTGGCAATCGACGCCACTTGACATTGAAACCACTGCACATGCATACACAAGAGTGTGTGTGTGTGGGTTGGTTAACCAGGTTTGGGCCCCTGACATTGAAATGCCAGTTAATGCCATTTAATCTGCCGCCAGCCGCCCAAAAACAGAAACAAGACACGAAGAAAGGAAGATGGAAAGAGAGTCGAAAGCTGCAACAACGACTTGTGTCTCTTCTGCACTGAAAGAAACACTAGCAAGAAATACATTTTGCAGACTAAATAGTTGTAAAAGTATCATGAAACATGAGGGCAAACAAGTTTGATCTTCTGCAATCATTTTGGAATTAGTTTATTCCCAATTCTCGGTTGGAGCAGAAACACTAGCATTATTTCTCCCACTGCCTACCGTGGCTGTTGCTCCATTCTGTGTTCTGTGCAATCAGGCAAAAGTTTGGAGCATCCAAACAACAGCAACGAGGAGGAGAAAACAAGTAGGTGCATACAGCGATTGCAGCTCATGTTGCACCACTGGGACACAGCAAGGACGAGTGTCGCTGGGGGGTGGTTGTGGAGTGGCAGGCGGAAGCATCGAATGGCGGCCAGGAAACACTAACGAAACAATGGCCAGGAAGGAAGGGACCGCACGGAAGGGAACGACATGTACAGGACTTGTGGGTTGTGGGTGTGTGCCACCACCAAGTGCACGTTACAGCAAAGCGGAAGTTTAAAAGAAATCCCACTCGAGGCATAATTTCAAGCCAAAGGTTATTGAGGAAGCAGCATTTGTTGGTTGTTGCTTTGTTTGTTCTCCCATTTGTTGCTTCTAGCGGCCGACTGGTGTGGCAACAACGATGCACAGAGTGTTGAACTGCATTATGCCGTGACATAGACATATTTAGATACAAGTATGAATCGTGTCTCGAACAAACTTGAAAGGACTTTGACTACATGGAATACCCACAGCATTCCCCCCACATATCACAGCTGTCTGTCCATCCAAGCAAAACAATTAATTTTCGGGTCATATTTAAACAAACCAAAGTGGGGCACACTTTCATGTGGCTGCTGTTCCGATCGATAGCATAGCTACAATACAAATGCAAATGCCCGTAGAACGGCTGTTAAATAAACTACAAAAGATGCCAAATACAACACAAATCGAACTTAATTGAGCAGAGTCAAATGTCGTCGCAAGTGGCAAAAGGCCCGGCGACCTGGGACCCCCGTTATGGCACGGCATTGCCAGCAGCACCGGCAGCGGCAATGGGTGGACGGACGTAGTATAAATTGTGTTCCATCAGAGAGCTATTTCATGCGACAAGTGCACAAGTGCTCCACTTTGCCCGCTGTCCGTACGCTGTCATTCAGCGAAGAGTTCGCGTGATAAAAAAAAACTTGTCAATTTGTTTGCCGTTGGCTGCGGTTTGTGGTTCCTGCCACTCATCCACCAGTCCCTCTTCCTCATCCATTGTTGCTGTGGGGCCGTGTCGCGTCTGCTGGAACACAATTCATTCAATAATTACATTTTCCCATTCATTGTTTTCAATTTTTTTTTTCGTTTGTGGTGCCTTCAGTGCAGGGCATCCCGTCAGCCCCACACCGATTTGGTCCATATTCGAATTCGCAAAATGATAATTCAATTAAGCTCGTTAAAGACGGGGGGTGGTAGTGGGGTGTACGGTTGTGCTGGAAACCCTTTTAGTACGGAACACACATTCATTTCGTTCTCCTTCTTGGCCTTTTCTTTCTGTCACGCCATTTGCCAATGCCAATTACCCGTTTACTCACCTTTCCCCAACCAAATCCCTCCTTCGGCGTCAGGACACAGGGACACAAGGCAATTATCGCATTGTTGAATTGTTGAAAAATTCTTGGAAAATACGTGTGCGGGTGGGTGTTGAGTATGACTTCCAGTGTATTCGGGATATCAGAGTTTAATTGGATGGCAAATTAGCATACAAAAGTTTAAAAGGAAGTGCAGTTAACCCCATTCCCAGAAATGTTAAGTGCCACCTGAGGTCAACCTGTGGTCAGCAAATGCACTTGGGATGTTTCTGGTATTGCAAATTCAACTAAAAATGCAATATAAATCAAGGACATTCGTTGCATAAATAAGATATAATCGCAGGCATATCCTAAATCAATCCCATTCCATCGAAAAGAGAGTGAGAATTCCATTAGAACTCGCATTGATTCATGGCAATACTGCACAATTAATTCAAAATAATTGCTGTACACTCTCTCCCCCTTTCTGTCTTTCTTCCTCTCTTTGTTGATGCCGAGGCAGCTCTAATTGCGGCTCAATGGCTTTCTTTATTGAACCATTAATTGATTTACTCATAATCAAGCGCTCCTGACGTCGCCGGTCCGGGAATATTCAATCAGTGCTGCAATGACAGAATGCCATAGGGCTATCGGGCAAATCAATGCCATTGTTGTATGGATGGATATGTTCCGCCTCCCACTTTTAACATTCGATTCTGGATTCTCGTTTTCCGGCTGCTGCAGGGCTGCACGAAGGAGCTGGTCTTTGAATGGTCGGTCCTTTCCAATCGTTTTGTGCTAATGCTTTTTGCTTTTGGCCCATAAACGTGGCAGAGCTCCTCGAAAGCCGCTGACTTAATTGTGTGCGAGGTGATGGGTTGGGGCGGGGGCGCGTTGCTTGTCACCATTCAAACTGCAAAGCCACTTTAAGTTGCCTTTAACAAAAAAAGCAATAGGAAAAAAGCACAAAAAAGGAGAAATGACACGCTCGCGTGGGCGCTCTCGTTGAGGTGGTTGTCCTTGTCTTCCTCGTACTCGCTGCTCCCTAGCCCATGTCCACGGAGAGCGCAAACTCCGTGCGGCAGTTGTCTCTCTCTCTCACTTTTGTACTTTCCTTTCCAGTCTTCCATCTTGCATATGCACAAGCTGCGCATGCACTTGCTCTCTTTCTCTCTCGCCCTCTCTCGGGAGCTTTCCTTAACCATTGAGTAATGTGTGTGTACTCGAATGGAAAGCTTCTTCCCATTGCGTACGCTGCTGTTCTAGGGCGGCTCCGTTGCCACTCTCGTTTATCCAGGCGCAGTCCAGTTCCGTTAGTTCAATCATCCAGCTCCAGCCAGTTGGCAGTTTCGAGAGCGTATTCCACGCACACGCGAAACAAAACCACACGAAACGCCACAAAGCTTTGCCCAATGCAAATAATCGTTTAACTCTAGTTCTGTGATGTGTTCGTATTAGCCAAAAGACGTTATTTTCTTCAGTTTTTTGGCAATTTGTGAAACATTTTTGTTGGAAGATATTCGTGTACCCAAAAATACCAACAGCAGTTCAGTTTGGCGCTTAAATTTGTTGATGAACTCAAAGAACGATGCAGGGGGGCCAATAGAATTGAATTTTCGCTTTTATTTTCCTGCACCAATTTCGCACCCGTATGAATCATGAATCATTTTGCGTGCTGGAACACGAAATGTACAAAGAAAGAAAAAGTTTCTGCTTGTGCTTTTCACAATTTGGGCGAAACAACCAAACAATCGGACCGCCTCTTAGCCCCTTTCGTTGCTTTGCGTCAGCATGTGCCCATTTTCCAGGCCCATCCCCTCGCGATCTCTGTACCCTTGTACACTGTGCCCACTGTGTGTGTGTGTGTGTGCTTGTTTATGGCCACTTGTAAGACAGCCCGCGCAGGCAAGGGGAGCACACAACACGGGGCAGAGAGCGTGTTGATGTGAGAGGCAAAAAAAACAATGGAGCTCTCAATAATACTTCCCGCATGCTCGTATAATTGTGCAAATATCCAACATACACACACCATAATCGAGAACACCAACTGCCGATATTCCCGCAAAATAGAAACGCGATAAATGGCGGAAATACTCGTCGAGTAATTTATTGATTTTTGCATTTTTACTGCGACACATGGTCCTTGCATATGGACTCGTACATAAATATGTACATATGTGTGTATGTGTATGTGTGGAGATATCTGCATCGCAACATGATTTTGCGCTAATCAAAAAAACTGAAATCTTGGATTTTATTCCTTAATTGTACTTTTCCCCTGGGCTCAGAAAGCACTTGGCGAAAGCTTTCACACTCGCGCTTCCATTGCTCTTTAGCTCTCTCTCCATCTCACACTCTCTCTCTCTCTCTCTCTCTCTCGCTGAGTAGAACTTTTCTAGGAAAAAAAAAAAACAAATTTCCCACAAATGCAAGCGAGTAGATAGTTACCTTTTTCCTCTGGTAATTTCCCAGCCTCGGACACGCGGATTTTTAGTTTACAATTAGAGTTTGGCGTTGGCTGGGACCCAATCGGGTAACGGACAGCGGATAGCAGTCGCCTGCAGCATCCGCGTGGATCAACAAATGCGCAAAAAGCAAAGAAAGAAACCAAACAAACTGAACTGAACTGTGTTGGCTTATGTCACTTAACTCCCGCTTCTCACAGTGAAAATCGAATCGAAACAGTGAAAAAATACACACACACACACACACACAACAATAACATTGAAAAAGTGCATAAAAATAGCAGAAATAAAACATTTTGTAGCACAAAAGCAGAAGAAGGTTCAGTCTTTATCCCTGTGGATACGCTTTGAAGTTGTTTTTAGTTGTTGGCTTTCCTCGCGACCCTACATTGTTTTTCTTCGCTGGCAACGTAGTCGGCCATTGAGTTGGCCGATACCAAACGACCTTCAAAACGTTTTGCGTCGAGGCAATACGCACCATGGGCTGCGCACAGTCTGCCGAGGAGCGAGCCGCAGCCGCCAGGAGTCGCCTCATCGAGCGAAACCTCAAGGAGGATGGCATACAGGCGGCAAAGGACATTAAACTGCTGCTGTTGGGTGAGTGCGTGGTTCGTGGTATGGGTGTGGGTGTGGGTGTGGGTGCGGGTGTTTGTGCTGGAAAAAGACTCCCAAATGGACAATGCAATGAATATTTGATTCGAGCTCTGGCTATAATTAGTAAAGCATACTTAGTGGCTGCCACTGAGAGTGTGCCATCATAATCCATGACATTTGGAATGAAATGGAGTAGATTAAATTGGATTCGAAAACCTTTCCCCCAAATATAGAACAACCCAATCAACTCCCGAAGAAAGGGGACATGAGTATCTATAATTTTCTCTTATTTACTTCTGGCTCTGTTCTGTTTTTTCTACTCCTTCTCCTTCATGTTCGCATATATGAATCATAGATTGATGAACTGCTAATTGCACAATGAGCACTCTATCCTTAGATGGCAGTTTGTTCTCCTGCATGGCCCGCCAATTCTCATAGTATCGATTCTTGGCTGCAGGTGCCATTCCATCTGGCTGTCTCCTCCGGCCTGCCTGTGAATTATGGCACAACGTAGATGCAATAAATTTAATAATCACAATAATATAATTGTGCAAACGGTCAGCTTAGTTCAAGGTCATGGGGCAGGGCTTGTACATCATCTGTGGGGGAGTTTTGCAAATAGATTGGACCACATTCAGCTCGGAAATCCTTGGGGAAAGAATAATGTTGAAACGGTTTTAGCTTTTCCCAATAAATTGAACCACAATTTGACCAAATTTAGACTGATAATGCAGGGAATTTGCATTCATTTGGATGATTTGCGCTTACTCATGGATCATGAGTAATATTCAGACATGCAAACATGAAAATATATTCGCCTGCATATCGGGCACATGTCTCTGCTTAACCCACTCCCTGGCCCTGGTCCCGGTCCCTGTCCCTCCCCCCGCTGGCCAATGTGTTGCACTTTTTGGTGTTTACTCGTACAATTTTGTGTGTATTTCATTTAATTTCCTCTTCGACCCGAGTGCCCAGAGGGAGAGGGTTGGTAAAGATTTCAATTTCTGACAGTTTTGCGTGTGTTTTGCTGTATGGAAAATGTTAATTTTTCGGCTTCTGCTACTCAAGCAACACCCACTGCGGGTTGTCTCTGTGTATGTTCTGTGTGGCTGGCTGTGTGTGTGTGCCAGAGGCCACTGGAAATGTTTATTTAAAAAAGTTTTTCCTGCGCGCATCGTAGAATTCATAATAATAATCGGAGAAACAAGAACAGAGTACGTAAATACGTACAATGTCCGAGTATCCGTCCCCTGTCTGCTCTCACTCTCTCTTTCTCTGTTTCCCTTTGCTCTCTGCATGGATCTTGTATTTTCCTGCAATCCACGAAATCATTAAAAGTAAGCACTTTGCCTTCAATTGCCACACAAACAAAACATTAATCTCAGGTGCTCCCCCTCGATCCGCTGTCTTCCTTTTCGATCTGCCATAAACAACTCACGAAAATTTCACTTCAAATCTAAACATTCTATCGCTTCTTGTGTCGATTGTAGTTCCCCGTTTTGGAATGAGAAAAGTTCTCGTTTCTCTGATCTATTCTGTACTTTTGATTGTGCTTTGGAGTACTTTCAAGTGCTGGGACATTGAACCTTTGGGGAAGTGTTTAATCGGGAATCGGCTGGATATGGGAGTGTTTTTTATTGCCAACAGTGCAAGGATAACGATCCTACAACATACAATAAAGAGTCCAATGGGCCTTCATTTGTATTTGAATAAAGAGTTTTGGCCTCTGAAATTTTAAGACAAATCGGGGCTCATCTTTAGCTGTCTGAGATGACTTTTTATCTCTTTGGGATGCTTCTGTTTTGTCCTCATTTACATGTTCGACGGCTGTGTTTGTGCTTAACTTGAGTGCAAAATCCACTCAGAAGTCACTCAATTAACAAATTGCATTCAATTATATGGAAATTTGTGTAAGAGTGCGCAGCTGGAAAATCCTTCAGTCATCGTGGGTCATTGAGCAGAAACAGAAACAGAAACAGTAAGCAGAAACAGACATCGAAACAGACACACACAGAACTGACCAGGGGCGGCAACAATTAATCCTTTGTTTGCCTTTTATATGTCAGAATGTGGTAGGATGCCCCTGTCCATCCATGGCCCTCTCCAGTTCTTTGGTTGATTTTTTCTCATTTCTTTTTCTTTGCCCGACGGCAAACTCGAGTTGATACATTGATGATGGGGAATGATAATGATGATGATGTCCCAAGAGATGCCCAAGTGTGTGTTTGCCTGTGTTCAAAGGCCATTAAGCTCTACTTGAGGAATACAAAGCACAGACATTTAGTGGTGCTCGAGAACTACTAGAGAACTGCCCCCTACATAAATATTTGCAGCGACCCCTTTAAGAACTGCGTCAGCGATTTTAATCAGGCGCAGTTGCAATGCCCCTGATATATCTGAATAATACCTTCTTCCCACTCACTCTCTCTCTCTCTCTCTCCCTCTACATCTGTATCTTTGCTCTAATCCTCTATTCCGTTCTAGGCGCCGGCGAGTCGGGAAAGAGCACAATAGTCAAACAGATGAAAATCATTCACGAGAGCGGCTTCACTGCGGAGGACTTTAAACAATATCGACCGGTTGTCTACAGCAACACAATACAATCATTAGTTGCCATACTGCGAGCGATGCCAACCCTAAGTATTCAGTATAGCAATAATGAGCGGGAGGTAAGACCCAGAGCAGAGACCCCACACCGTCCGCACAGACTAATGCTTCCTCCTTTGACTTACAGAGCGATGCTAAAATGGTGTTCGACGTATGCCAGCGGATGCACGACACCGAACCCTTCTCAGAGGAGCTGCTGGCAGCCATGAAGCGTCTCTGGCAGGACACAGGCGTCCAGGAGTGCTTCTCGCGCAGCAACGAATACCAATTGAATGATTCCGCTAAATAGTGAGTACCACATGCAGGAATATCCCCTGCCTCAAACACACACGTGCAACCCACTTTTCAAACGATCTACAAACCTGCATACGTCCAACACGATTACGTGATTTTGTGCAAAGTTTTTCCATCTTTATGTAATAGAATACTCTTATGTTGCCTTGGCCCCTGGCCCAAAGCCAAATATTTGATAGTTCTGCCTGGAATTCTTTTGCAAATTTGCAACATTTATTTGTCTGTTGTGGCAGCCAGCAAGGACAGACACACTTTAGACAAATTATTTTATAATTTCACAATTATCGCACGAGTCTGGCTTCAGTCGCGTTGATCTTGGGCACATAATTAATCAAAGTTGTGGCAACCTAAATAACTTTCACAGTCTACGCCCCTTCCAACTCACTCAATGATTAATGACTGACTGCACTGGTTGCTGTTTTTATTTTAGACCAAAAGTTAGTCGGGTTCGGATACATATTTACACTTATTCTTAGGGCTTATATTTACACGATTTATTCAGCTAGATGCGAAATGTTGGAAGTGCTTGTTGGACTTTATGTACATTTGCTTAATTAAACACAACGTCGAAAGAGTGCCACGACTGTAAATGTCACACAACCGACGTGTCTCTTACTCGTTGAGGGACATCCGTGCCAGGCAGTGTCTGGCTTAATCCTCCCGCAGGGTTAGCTTGAAATTCAGCGGGGACTGCGGAATGTATGTGGAATTGACGCGATACACAAACTCCCCGGAACTGTAGGAGACCTTGTATTTGCGGAAGATCTGTGGCAGAGATGAAATGGCATTAAATGGTGGCATGTATCCTGCACTGGGTGGACTGTACCTTGGCCAGCAGCGTGTGCAATTCAATTTCAGCAAAGCGACGACCCACGCACATGCGGCGACCAAAGCCGAAGGGCAGACTGACAAACGGATGAATCTTGTGCCCGGCGTGGGGGCAACCAACTGCAAGAGCCAAACGGATTAGCAGCGGGCAACGAGTGGGCAACGTAGGAATGGGAGCACTCACCTGCCGCGGCAGCTGTTTGTTTGAGCCAACGCTCGGGCAGGAAGCGCTTAGGCTCTGGGAAGTATGCGGGATCATTGGACACCACCAGATGGGGGAAGATGACGTGCGTCTGAAAGATAAAAGTTGGACTGTGAAGTGGCATGGAGCTGTTGCCATAACGGTGCAGTGAAGACTTACGCCCTTGGGTACGTGATAGCCGTTGATGACCGCATCCGACTGAAGGCTGCGACCATTCGCAATCACCACGGGACGCATGCTACGAAAGGGCACCGAACGGGACAAGGATTAGCAGCCAGAAACGAACAGCAATCAGTGCAGGCTTACCGCAGCGTCTCCTTGACACAGGCCCGCAGATAGGGCATCTGTTCGAGAACGTTCTGGTTGATCTCCGCCTCGCGTTGTGGGAACACTTTTTGCAGTTCCTCGAAGAGGCGCTTCTGCTTGTCGGGATTCTTGGCCAGCTGATATATGGTCGAGGAGGCGGCCACCGATGTCGTGTCGACACCGACGAGGAACAAATCCAGTGCCAAGATAGCGGCCAGCTTGCGGTTGCCCGTCTTGCGCACAATTCTCTCCACAATGGAAATGTCCGCCTCGGATTTGGGCAGCGCTCTGGCCTCGTCTGCCTCCGCCTTGTCCATTGTCTGGGCGATGTTCTTCATGCAGATTCTACAATGATTTGATATGTGAGTGGCTAGAGAGACAGTGGAGAGTCGCAGGCTTACGCTGTAAACTGATCCAGAGCACGGACAAAGCTGCGGTAGGCCTTGGTGGGGTAGATGCGCCACAGCGGCATACGCAGCTCCAGCTCTGGCACCGCCCAGAAGAACGTGTTGATGGCATCGATAATCTGTTGGGCCTCCTCGCTGCCCTCCGGCGAGAGACAGCCCAGGCGCGAGTCCAGCGAGACGCGTCCAACAGCTGCAAGGCAAGACACTCGTTAGGATCAGCAGAGAGAGAGAGAGAGAGAGAGAGCGAAACTATTTGTAGAACTCACATTCCAGGGCCCATTTGTAGAGCTCGTGCAGGAAATTGGATGGCAGCTCGTCCTTTTCGTCGCGCATCGCCTCAATGCTGCAACAGAGACAGAAATGTAGATGGCATTAGGGCTGAGAATGGAACGGGACGACTTACCGGCCCATAAATTCACTGGCAATGTCGTTCAGCGGCGGAATGAACTTCTTGGCCGTTTGTGGCTGCAGCAGGATGTGCTGCACCTCCTGCCTGAAGGCCTCCCACTTGGGTCCGTGCCTGTTTAGGGTTAATTATGTATGTTTTTGTGTGCTATGCCGCAATATTCGCTATATAAGCATATTACTTACACGCCAATTAGGCCGGCCACATCGCCAAAGAAATCGCGTCGCAGGTCGCCCTTGTAATGGCGCAGCGAGGGCATCGAGGGTCTGTGGCGAGAGCGAGACGAGACGGAGAAAAATTGTATATGTATGCACACATTTATGGGCAACATGAGCAGGCTTCTGGCCTCCTCTCTGAGGACAAGGACGGACGACTGCCGGGCTGCCCTTGCGTGCAGACAGACCGGCGACGACAACATCAAACACAAATTTCCTACTAAAATACGCACGAAATGAAGCGATTTCTCGACAGGGCCCGCCCCCAGCTCTCAGGCTCTCAGCATACAATATTTGCATGATATTTGTCCTCTACTCGCATGTCGCAGAATAAATAAAAGAAGCAGCGTAGTTATTGGCTTTTGGCTTTTGGCTTACGCCCTAGGCGGGTTGCCACTGCAACAGCATACTCGTAGTTGGACTTGTATTATGACAGATCTCCCTCTCTGGAGTGACGAGTGACGACTGACAGTGTCTGTTTGTTGGTCTCATTTTGAAATGGTGAAAAATCTTCGATGGTGTTTGGGCCACCGACCGGAAATTGCATCTCAAACTGGATTCATTCCAGCCTAATTTGAATATTTATTCATCGAACTGTGGCAAAGCGAGTTAATGGCAAAGCCGGAAAAGAGAGGCAGAACTCCATGTATTATATGCTAAAGTGTGCTGGCAATTCCTGCAAGTATTCCCTACAAAACGAGTCTGAGAAAACCAGTCTGTGAGACCCCAAGACTGTCACTAACCATGGGCTAAGCTGGGCCACCGTTTTTGTATAGTTTTTCCCACAAGCAAATCACATTCCTCCCCGGGTTTTATGAGCGCCATAAAAGTTCACGCCTCTGTCGGATGCTCGGACAAACCCTAAAGTGAAATATCTTCATCAATCAGTTAGTGCGTCAGTCAGTGGGACAGTAAGCCAGCAGGCCAGTGAGGCACTGAGGCAGGCAGTGGCCGTCTGTCGTTGGCTAGTTTCACACTTCTTCTTCGCCGGGGGGTCTGCTCCATTCATCAATCTCTCAAGTCGGGGCAATGACAATTCGCGGCTGGGGTTAGTGTTTGCGCATTACGTTAATGTTGTCTCATGTCCAATCTATTAGCGATTCTTTTCAGCCATTTTCATGATGACTTGGCTAAAAAGCTAAAAAAAAACTGTTTGCTTTCTGCGCCGTCTGCGATTCGCTATTTCTGTATTGATTTGTGGCAGCAGCAGCTGCGGGCGGGGCAGGGCAGTCGGTCCATAGACTGTTGGAAACGTAACATGTTAAATTTGGTTCATGGCCATGGAGATCCATGGAGCTACACACTCGATGGGAGAGAAAAAGAAAGCTTTATCAATGCTGTAAGCATATTTGCCGATCTCTGTGTGTGACTTTCGTTTGCTTGTTGTCTTCCATCCTCTATCGTTTTTCTGCTTATTTTATTTATTTCATTGAAGCAAAAACAACTGCGCGAAACGTTTGTGTTTTGGTTTGTTATTTTGCGACTGGCTAGGCCTAGGCCCATAGAGACAGAAGCGTAGAAGTGAAAGTTTCCACTAATCTCAATTTAATGTCATAGAAAACAAACAGTGCGACATTTGGCCCCAGAGTGGGCGGGGGGGATTCTCTTTCATTTTGTTAATAATTTAATTGGCGAGCTGCATTTAATATGCGCATAAATAAATAGGAACTGAGGAACTGCGGAGCTGCGGTCGCGGACGTGCACATGGGCATGGGCATGTGGCCGCATGCATGACTGACTGACTGACGGACTGACTGACTGACGGACTGACGGACTGTGTGTGGCCATGTGTGTGTGGGGTGGATGTGCAGCCCTGCAAACCCATTAAATTCAACCCATTTCAACGCATTTAATAAACGTGCTGAAAACTAGTGGAAGCTTCGACCACCCTTTCCTTGGTTCAAGGAGCTGCACAAGTGTTCTATAAACTTCGCAGGTCACTCACCGATGTGGCATGGCCTCCTCCTTCTTGAATATGTTTCGTATCTCATCGCCGTCAAAGACGAACAGCAGATCCGGATGCCCAATCAGGCCACCCACCTTGGCCATTTTCCCATAGTTGACATGCAGCTCGTGCATAACCTTGTCCAGTTCGCTAATCTTGTACGTTCCTGCAAGGCAGAGACGCATTCTTGTGAGCTGTCGAGCCGAAGGGCTGAAGGGACTTACCAATTAGCGGTGCGAAGCGCCAGGAATTGCCTATCAGGGGTAAAGGATATGGACCAGGCACCTCCGAGTAGGGCCGCACACCGACTGTCGAGGATGCGGTTCTGGTTGCTGTCGCTTTTTCCATTGCGGCTGCTGCTGCTGCTGCTGCTGCTGCAGTGACCGCCATGTGGCTGCCAATTAGTGGAAATTAGAGAAGAGCAGAGGGAGGCGGAGCTCGTAATAAGAAAATCATTTACCTGACATTTAATTTGTTCTGATTTGCCGGCACCGTCTCCGTGTGCCCCTGTCGCAGTCGTTGCCTTGCAATGGATTTTTCAATTTCCGTTGCCACTCCCACGCCATCCGGTGGGGCAGCAACATCCACGCCCGCACCCGCCCCAGTGCCCGGATGCGGCAGCAACGTCGATGTGGCCGAGGCCGTGTAAGTGGAGCGCCGCATCAGGGCAATGGAGGTTTTGCTTAAGCTCGACATCTTTCCTGATTTAAATCTGTGGCGAAAATACTGCATATTATGTAACGAGAAGGAAAGGAAAATGCCAGCAAAACGAAGCTGCAAATACTCTTTCGCAGAACGATAATCTCTAGATAAATACTCTAGAAAGTGCCACAAGTTTCAGCCGCAAAAGGAAACTAAATTCTGCTTGCGTTTTAGTTAGTTCTCAAAGTTCTTCCCCCACGGCAAACTTTTAATGCATTTCCAAGTATTTGCTTTGCCCTGTTTGCGCTGGCGAATCAATCAATTCGAGGGAGAATGAGGCTGCCTATTGAGTCCCCTGCACAGAATCACTCAGGCAGCAGTGGAAGGTGTTTGGTTGAAGTGCAAATATTGTTCCATAGTTTCCATGAAATCCCACTTTGCTGCTAGCTGCTTGGCATCAGAAATGACAGCACTTAGTTCAAGCTAGTTGCCACACAACCAGGCAAAGACAAACAGTCTGCGATTGTACCAGGGGGAGGAATACACAAGAGTGTACACATGACAATGGTGGGCCGGGGCAGGGGCAGGGGCAGAGACAAGCAAGGGGCACTGTGTTATGGCATATTCCACTCCACTCCATTCCATTCCATTCCATTTTATCGTCTCAGTCAATAGGCAAGTGGCGGGCTACCAACCGTGAAATTGTGCACAACTCCACAAAAGCCACAACACAAATACAAATGCATGAACATACAATATATTTGTGATTTCAAACAAAGAAAATACACACGCTAATTGAAGAGCTATTGAAGTAGCGCGCAGTTGAGGGAGGGCCAAGCTAACTACATTCAAAGTGTCTTCAGAATCACTTTAAGTGCAGCCAAAGGGATACAAAAGGAACAATCTAAGGATGTATTTGGCATTAATGGAAATCAGAGCTCGTTCTTTCTTATGCAATGATTTCTGCTCGTTATCAAAAGTTCATTTATAACTTAAATAACATTTTCCATGCACACCCCGAAGGTATTTGACCCTTATCTTGTGCTTACTCGTTGAGTGTAAACCCAATTGGCTCCCATGGAATATACTATGGAAAAGGGTTTGGATATTTAATATTTTGTGGCCGCACTCTCCCGCCCACAAGACGCAGGCCTCCCAGCCCTCAAGGCTGCCAAAGAGCAGCAAATGAAGAAAAATATTGCTCATACGCCAAGTGCTTCATCGAACAGTGTTGGCTGGGAATGGTTTCGCCTTTAGCTGCGCCTGCTCCCTGAGGATAATATAATTTAAATGCCGAAAATGTGATGGAGAGGAAATCTGCCACCCCCGCTTTCCCTTGCCATTATTCTTTGCCTTTTATTTAATGTGTGTTTATCCTCCAGCAGCAGCAGCGGAGCTTATCCTTGCCCTTGCCACACAGGCAGCAAAGCGACCTTGAGCACTTGTGCCAACAACCAAACTATCTGTGTGTGGGTGTGGATGTGTGTGCAGATGGGGTGGCGGCTGCTTTTATCGCCAGTTGGTTTGGTTATAATGAACTTGAGTGATAATCCTAGCGCCTGCGAGCAGTGCAGGAGAAAATGTCAAGCAGAGCAGCAGCAGCAGCAGCAATTGTCGTTGACTTTTATGGGCCATTGTTCCAAGCCAAAGGAGAAACAGGCTGGATGGCTGTGGGCTGTGGGCTGTGGGCTGGATGGCTGAATGACTGATGCCGCCTGGAGGCTGTGGGAGACAGCTGCTGCAGCTGAGGCTCCTCCATCTCTGAGCTCTGCGTTACACTCGAATGAATACGAAATACAAAAATGAAAATAAAAGTCTCCCCTCAGGCGTTCAGTTCTATTAGCATTCGTCTGTTAAATGAGGAGAATCTGAAAGTTTCAGCAGCAGCAGCTGGATTATGTCACACATCTTTCCAACTATTTATTGACTTTCGCGAATGCTTTTTGACTCTGTGTTGACCGGAGGTGTGGCCGTAACCGTAATCGTATCTGCATCGGAATCTGCCTCGAAAATCATATTCAAATTTTTACTTTCGCACTGGCACTCTCTGCTCTGTTGCAATTTGACTTTAACTTGTTTTCCTTTGCGCCGCGAACTCACCCAAATTAAGTTCGGTGGGGGCCAGGGGGTGGGAAAATGCCTCGTGGAAATGATACACTTTGAAATCGTTTTCCACGGCCTGCCACGCCAGTTGAATGAGTTTCTTTCAACTAAAAGCCACTCTGGAGCGGTCGTCTTTTGTTGCCGTTTTCTATTGTTGGTTGTTTGGCCAATTATCCACTCGACACACACACACACACACAGAAATCACACTCGGACGGGGAGATTCGCAAAAGTCTTTGCCACGCAGCACGAAACTTGTTGTTTTGGCCCGACACGAAACCGAAAGCTATAAATGGAGCTCTTTTGGAGTAGGAGCTGCTGCCTCGTAGACCAACCGCGATGCACTAAACGCGATCGTCGGGCTTCTTAGTCTACTTATACGCGTCATCGACAACAACGCTGCTGCTACTGCTGCTGCTGCTGCTGCTGCTGCCGCTGGCCAGCGTCAACGTTTTTGGCGCTCTTTTGTTGGTTTTGTTGTTTAAGATGCTTCTGCTAATTGCCGCTGCTCGTCCGACTCACCCGCTGGCCAGCCTTTTATTTTAACAAAATATTAAATCCAAAATGAAATTGAAAGTGATTTTGATACTGCTAATCAGAGAGCAAAAATTAGGGCCCAACAGCTGTAACTTTTCGTGATTGACATTAATGAGAGCCAGAGAGACAGCGAGGGGGCGAAAGGGCAGTTGCAGTTGGGTTGTTATGCAAAGCAAATAAATGATTATAAAACTGAAACTTTGCTGAAACTAACGAGCCATTTGCATGCCCAAATTGAAAATGAGTTTAGGTTAGTGAACTTCACAGCTTGGAAGAGATGCAAAATAGATGTTGAACGGCTCTAAAAATATGCAGAAAAGGTGCTTCAGGTGCTTCAGGTGCTATTTATGGTATCTGGTTTTGAATTCATCGGTTTAGAATATACATATGTATATTTCGATATGCCTGCCGATCTTCAACTACTAGTTTGATTTAATTTGTAGCATCCATTTCATTTGCAGCAGCATTTGTCAGCAGAAATGTACGAAAGCGTTCTAAACACTGGCCCACTTTCGCCTTTTATTTGTATGTAGGCTACGTATGTCTGTCCCATCAGCACATCAGATCTGCTCTACCCACATTATACCACACACGTATCAGCCTGCCCAACTGCCTTAGATTGCAACACATTTTCCGGGCTCACAGTTGCATGCATAAGAGTTTGGGTCTGCGGTCGAAAAATAATAAAGAAAGAAAACTTTTATGACGCACATGTTAAATGAGATGAGATCTCGATCTCTGCCTGCCTGTGCCTACCAAGTGCTAACTATGGCATTGCCCAATCGCTGGCAACTGGATCCGTTTTCGGACACCTCTCTAAAGGTTTGTCTAACAAATTGTAACAGAAATGCGGTCGGTGGGTCGGTCAGTGAGTCGCTTATGCAGTTTTGCTCTTGCCCAAAGCCCAGCTCGAGTCCCGAGACTCTGCGAAACTTTTCCACTTGAATGGTCGCTTCTTCTGGTTGATGTTATGCCGATTGTAGTTGGTTGTGGTGCGTTGTGTTATGCCAGGGCGAGCATGACTTGGCCAATTTCCTCGACCAGCCGCAGAGTTGCCAGACTGCGAGTCGGCGAATCGGCAAATTGATTCCAGGCAGCCTCTCTGGCTGTTCCCCTCGGCCCAGCGGATATTATGAATATGATCGGTGAGGGCATACTTTGGCGGCGATTGTTGGGCAATTGTGCGTGTAATTTAGGCAGCAAACCAGTTGACCAACGAAGTCAACAAGAGATCCCATGCGATAGCCGCAATGAGCGCAGATTCCTCGCCCTGGCCCAATCCCGGCAAGAGAAAGAAAGAGAAAACAAAACCTTCAAAACTATTTACGACTCGTCGCAGTCCGATCCAAGGCAACAAATGAAATCACAACTCTTGGCCCAGGTCTGGGATTGCTGTTGCCCTTTTTGAAGAAAGAGGCATTGCGTGCCTCACGTTAATTACGGCCAAAATACATGCTGGAATGGACGCTACAAGCACTCTGGAACTAAAGCTGTAGCTGTAGCTGGACACTGCGGAGCTCTTGGGCGACCTACTTGTTGGTGGAGGCACTCCACCAAAAAAAAAGAAACACGCAGCCTCCGCTGCTGACTCTGACTGATGACTGACTGAGGGGGTGATTGTGGCTAAAGCTAGAGTGATTACACAACCTGCAAATACAACTAATTACACACACACACACACACACACACACACACACATCGATGTATGTATATGTGGCCAAGCTTGATAACTGACACATGCATCTGTTGACACGGAAATTAGAACCAGCAACGGTCCCCACAGTCCACTCTGTGTTTCTCTTTGACGCTAATTGAACGGAAATGAAAATCGTTTTGAATAACCAAATTCAGATCTTTCATGCTCTGATGTGATGTAATCTGTGGCGTACACTGAAGGAAAGCCCCAGAAATAAACGTGGCGTTCTTGAAGCGCTCTCCCTGCTCTTGCCGCAGTGTAGGCAAATGGAAATCATTTGTGTGCTTGCTGCATGTGTATTTCTTGCCTCCTTTTGTGGGCCTGGACTTGTGCAGGTTTTTCTTTTTTAATTGTTTGCTCAGCGCTTTGGTCTGTGCCTAAATTGTTTGCTCAGAACTCGAGAGGGCTGGCGTGATGGCATGGCACCGTAGGGCTGACGGCGAGACAGACAAACATTTGTCTGGTCAAGCGATGTGTGGTGCTGCGGAAATTTCTGTATCTAATACGCCGTTTGTGTGCTCTGTTTGCTTGCAGTTTCCTGGACGATTTGGATCGGTTAGGCGCCAAGGACTACCAGCCAACTGAACAGGATATCTTGCGTACTCGCGTCAAGACCACTGGCATCGTTGAGGTTCACTTCTCCTTCAAAAATCTCAACTTTAAGTAAGTGTCAAGCAGCAGATGGATGGATGGTTGCAGATGTTTAATCCCTTTTTTGATCGTTTTCAGATTGTTTGATGTGGGCGGCCAGCGCTCTGAGCGTAAGAAGTGGATACATTGCTTCGAGGATGTTACGGCGATCATCTTCTGCGTGGCCATGTCCGAGTACGATCAGGTGTTGCATGAGGACGAAACTACGGTAGGTTTGGAGAGGGTTCCTGGCACTTTATTGGTTCCACAACTGAAACTATTTGCTCTGCTCTTGACTCTCAGAACCGCATGCAAGAGTCGCTGAAGCTGTTCGATTCGATCTGCAACAACAAATGGTTTACGGACACCTCGATCATATTGTTCCTGAACAAGAAGGATTTGTTCGAGGAGAAGATACGCAAGAGTCCACTGACAATTTGCTTCCCCGAGTACACAGGTGAGTGGCCGAAAGTGCAGTCTGATTGTGACTCTGAATCTAATTCTTGTGCTTTTTGGGGGCGGACAGGTGGACAGGAGTATGGTGAGGCGGCTGCATACATCCAGGCTCAGTTCGAAGCGAAAAACAAATCAACCTCAAAAGAAATCTACTGCCACATGACGTGTGCCACAGATACCAACAACATTCAGTTTGTGTTCGATGCCGTCACCGATGTCATCATAGCAAACAACCTGCGCGGCTGTGGACTGTACTAAGCCAGCCGCTGGCTGCCAGGACATGTGGATGTGGATGTGGAGAAGATTGGGGGGCGTTAGCAGGGAACACCGTAACGGTATTAAAGAGCAGCGCGGGAGCACAACAACCCACCAGCATTGATCAAAAAACAAAATGAAAATTTAGGAGCCAACGATGATAGAACCAACAAAACAACAACAAGCAAAGCCCAAAGAACTTTTATTTGTTTAACAAAAAGCGAACAGATGATGATGATCCCCGGAGTACGATGGGAGAACATGCAACAAGTACATTATAATATTGAACCAGATAAGATAAGCTGATAACACAATGCAAATGAAGATGCAGATCGCAGATCCTCATACGATCGTGGTCGGATGCCCACAGACAAGCATTTGAGAAGCAGTTGATTGAAAGCATTTCCTATATACATACAAATACATACACACTTACATAAATACATAAAAACATGCATGCATACATACATATGCATTATGCAAGCCACATGTACGACATGACACGCACACACACACACACACACACACACAAGCAAAACGCATAAGAGTCGCATAGTTGTTGTTTGGTCTGAATAATTTTTATAGAATTTCATAATTTACGTGTAGCTTAGTTTTCTCATGTATTTATTAAACGAAAACCAAACGAGCGTATATACATACGGAGCGTGCATATGTATACACACGCAGCCACATACATAAATACATAAATACATACATATATATATATAAATAATATATATTTAATGTTTCCTGTTGCAATCTCTCTTTAAAATTATTCATGCCATCAACGCTCTCTGCATTTGTCGTGCTTGTTTAGGACCTAAGTTTTGAAAAGTTTCAACAAAACACAACAACAGCAACAACAACAACAAGAACAAGAACAACCACAACAAATAAATAAAAATTAGTTTGATTGCGTTGCGTGTAAGCGTGTGGGCAAAAGTAAATATACATATATATATATATAAATTATATGACATTAAAATGAACAAACCAAAAGGGAAAACATAGGAACAAACAACAAACACACACACACACACACAAAAGTAATTAAAGAAAATCTTTAAAGTTTAAGTCTAATTTAAAGATAAAAGAAACGGATATAAATCTCTATCTATTGTATTTACAAAAACCCAAAACTAAAACTAAAACTAAACTAAAATAACAAAAGAAGTAAGAGTAACGCAAAGCATATGTGGCCACTTACATAACTAGCTTGTGTAAAAAAAAGCAGTAGCAGCAGCCATCAATGATTGGATTGGATTGATTGACTTGACACGATTGATGCGTTTCAATGTATGTAAATTGTAATTTGTTGAATTTACGTGTATAGGAGAGGTTTAGCTGGCATACACACAACACACTGAGTACACACACGCACACGCACAGACACACACCAATTTAATTTACATTCACCTAACGCTGATTTAATGTAATTTAACGAATTTGTTGCATTTATTTATACATACATTTAAACGTTTAAATATTTAAAAAGCAATGCGCACAAAAGCATGCTTTACTTTTGCCATGTCTCACAGCACACACAAAAACCAATCAAATGCAATGGAAACAAACTCAAACAAATCTCCCCCACATTGAAAACTAAGGATTGAGTGTATGTGTAATAATATTTACTGAAATTGTACATATGCATATGTATGCGAATGGCATTTAATCCCCGAGTGTGGTTTGATTAGACTTATTATTATAATTATTACCTTTACGTGTGTACTTTTGTATATGCTTCGTACATACTTATGTGCACAGTGCATTTGATTTAACATAATCAGTTAGCTGCAATGAATTTATATTGTTATTTTGATAGTATTTTCTTTTGTATGTACCCGTACCCCAGGCAGTCCTCTTCCTTTCCACACTGCTTCTACTGGAAGCCCCTCTGCTGTGCCCTTGTGCTCTTGCTCTAGTTGGACAAATCCATTTATGTTTTATAGTTTTTAAGTCTAATTTATGTAAACGCACACGAACACACACACACAACTTAAACATCAAATAAGTAAGTTTATTAGCGAAATAAATATTATTTGACATTCAGCGATAAACGGTTCAACAATTCGCACAAAGCTTGAAGCAATTGTTTTGCATACGCTTCGGCAGTGCCAGCGTCTGCAGAGACCCAGACCCAGACCCAGACCCAGTTAACCAGATACTTTTCACACATTGTGTTTGGCCACAGAACCGCAACCTTTTCCGCAAAACTAACCTAACCCCTGACCTTAACCACCAATCAGTGATTCGAGTTTCCCATTTCCATACCCTCTAACGAACCAACCAGCCCACACCCAACCAAATACTGTAATATTTAATACTTATGTATTTTCCATTCAACTTGTATAATTCTACCAAAAGGAAAAACAAAAACTAAAAACTAAAAACTAAAAAAAAACATAAACGCAAAATCATTTTCAATAAAAACTATTTATTCAAAAACAAAAAACCCACTAATTAGATTTTTATTTAGTTTTTGTTCCACGAGGTCTTGCAGCCAGAGAGCCGAAAAAGAGAGAAAATGTTTTGAGTGGATGAGTGGATGGCTGCTGGCCATGAAGTACATGTTTAAGGAACAGCCGCAGACCAGTAGAAGATCACGAACTAAGGGTTCAATAACAACTGTATGTAATTATATATTTAAAAGTGAAAATTGATATATTTATTGACAATTTAAGCCACAAACAAAGATTATTCATTTACCTTCGAGACAAAACAAAAGTAAACCAAATCGATCTATATACAACTATATACATATAGCATTACAGAATGACATAAGAAAACATACAATGCATACACACAAACATTCAAACAAACATACAAACATATGTACTATATTTTTCTCGTAATTATAACTAATGGAAAACACTCAAGCGAAAGAGTCTATCATTTTCCTCCTCAAAAGTAGCTCAACTCTTGCCAAAAAGAGAGAATGCAAGCTAATTAACTAATTAAACAAGCAAACAAACAAACAAACATTCAAATACGACTAATAGCAACTTCATTCAAATTCAAGCATAGCATAGAATTAACCGCAGTAAATCAATTAACATACAATTTTGCATACATATTTTCAATAATGAACGGAACACAAACGGTATCAATTCTCATACATATTTTTCTAAGCTCATACACCATTTTGCTCCACACACACTCTCGAGTCGCAGCACAACTTACTAAAATTACATTAATAGCAGATGAAACAATTCCAAGTGAGTTTCATGCAAATACTCGTACATAAACGGAAAAGGCAACACTTAACTAATGTTTAATTGATCGTAAATCAAAGCAAACGATTTGATTTGTTGTAAGTGGAAAAGTATCCCCAAGGAAAATGAAATATTAAACGGGTTAATTAAACCAAGAAGATAATTGATTGAGGAGTAGAAGGATGAAAATGGAACCATAGGTTAGACAAAGCTTAGGAGGAGTAATTAATCTAATTTGTAGCCTAATTCAAATTGCTTTTGTTGTCCCTTGCACCAGATCAGATTTATTTCACATGTATATGGCAAATATTTATGAAACATATATGTAAAAAAATACCATGCATGTGTGGAAATATATATTTCTCCTCAGTCTTGAGCTCCTTTACTCTCTCTAATGAACCACGTGGACAATGATGTGTAGCTAATGGCCCGGTTTTAATTGAAAATGATGCGAGCCACAGAATCTTACTAAGCTCGATAATGATGAAAGATATTAAATCGTTGAATTACAAATATAATATATATATATATATACATATATATGTATGTATATATAACGTAATGATATAGAAACAAAAATAACAAAAAATCAAAGCCCTAATGTTTGTATGTAAAAGAAACTCAAAACGTTAGAGATCATCTAAAATTTAAATAAATATAAATAATAAAATAAAAGCGCTGAAAGTTGTACTAATTTATTCCACACAGAAATTTCATCAAGCACCTTGTACCTCTGCACATATATTTTAATTTATTTATTCAACATTTACTCTAAGCAGCCTGCAAAAAGGTTGTGCATACCTTACCGATTTCGTCTGAAAAAGTAATTTTTTGGTACCCGGAACTCAATTTTTCCGTTCCTGGGTACAGTACAGTCACCGTCGCTGACACATTTGACCCATCTGACGCCCAATACCGCCGATATTGGCAGGTAAGAACCAGCAGCAAAACGGAATAAATGAAATGTCACATTTTGAACACAAATGTCTTTCGCTATGCCTTGCCTTGTGTTTTTTATTTGTTGTATAATTTGTGTATAACTTTGTATAAGTCTATAATTATTTTACGTCTAAGCTATTGCTCTGCTTATTCCAGCAGTTTCTTTTTCGACTTGGGCGTGGAGATGGTGCGCAAGGAGACGCGGCGCGGCGTCTTATTGTTGGGCGTTGAAGGTTTCGCTACCGTCGCTTTGACCGGGGTCTCGGTCTCCGCCTCCTCCTGCGTGTCCTCATAGACCAGACGTATATCCTCAGTGCGTTCACAGGTGCTTTCACTGACGGACACTGGATTCTTTGCCTGCCCATTTGTCTCCGGCAATGGTTCCTTTATAGACGTTGGCATGGGAGTACTATCCTCTTCGAGGGGCCAAGCATCCATGGCCTCTTCCATGGGAGCGACTGGAGAGTTGACAGGCATTTCGACGAGTACGCGGGGAGTACGCCTCACGGCAATTGGCGTTGCTGTTTTGGCGGGTTGGCTCACGCTCTTGGGTGTGAGGGAGAAGCTACTGGAGCTTCCGGGCGTGCGGGGCTGGCGACGAATTTGAATGGGGGTAGCAGGACGGCATTCCTTCTCCGGTGACTCGAACTTCTCCTCAGAGCTAATAATCTCCTTGTCCAGAACAGCAATACCAGCGATTTCCGACTGATGCTTCTTTGTCGGTGGCTCTGGCAATGGGCTGCTCTTGCGTTTCACAGAACTCGACAAGGCCTTCACGTTGTTGGCTTCTTCGTCCTCCTTCTTAACGGGTGATTGGTGTGTGAGGATTTGAATGGGTGTCTGTGTAGTGCCAGCGATAGCTGTCAGCTGCTTCTTTGTCGGAGGCTCTGGCAATGGACTGATCTTGCGTTTCCCAGATATGGGTAAGGCTTCGGTGTCCTCAGTTTTTCGTGGCGAGCGGCGTATGGTGATAGGTTTTGGTGTCTGATCAATCTTGCGCTTGACAGAGATCTGGGAGGCGCCTTTATCCGAATCTTCCGGCTTACGCGGCGAACGGCGTATTGCAATCGGTGCTGGTGCGAGTGCGGTAGTTGCATTGACTTTGCGAGGGGAGCGCCTAAAGGATATAGATTTTGGCTGGACCTCGGCCTCTACCTCTGCTTTTGTCTTCTGCTTGGGGCTGGTGGACGAACTGGCACTATGCATGGAGGAATCATTTTCGACATCAGCATCAATCTCTGTGTCTGCCTTAAGGTTTGATTCTGGAGTGTTTCTTTTGAGATTGGCCTTGGTCTTCTCCTGCAGTGGTTTCCGTGTGGCTGGTCTCTCATCTGCCGATCCCTTTCTAGCCTTCGCTTTATTTTTCCTTGGCGGCGGTGCATTCTCTGAACTCTTAAAGGCAGCGCACAGCACTGCATCCATTTCCTCATAGCGCTCGCCCAACTCATCGATCTCAAAGTGCAACAGCGAACAGAAGCCATCCGTGCTTGAAACAATCAGTACAGTCCCGTCACTCGACCAGGTCAGGTCCGTGAGCCTAGTGTAGTGAATATTCGAGACGATGGCGAACGGTACAGCCTGCTGGGTGTCATAAAAGAACACAGAGTTCTTGGTGGCGACGGCATAGATCATGCGGTAGGGCAGCGAGATGACCGGTGGATTCTTATCCGCATTGTACGGTCTCAGACGGTACAGTACCGGAGAGCAGCGCACAGCAACCGCGTACTCCTGCGGAAAGGGCAGTACAAAGGCCGGCCGCGTTAAGTCGTAGCGACTGAAGCCGTATGTGGTGTTAACCGGCTTCAAGACGCCATCGTAGTCGGTGATGCCCGCGGGAGTGATCAACAGCTTGCCGTCTGGAGTGAAGCACAAGCGACGGAAGAAAGTCTGCAGAGAGCCATCATGATAGAGTCGTATGTTCTTCCCATGCATTGCATGGCCCTCCTGAACAGGCAGTGTGCACTTGGCTACCCTGTGGAGCACTCGCTTGGTGTGGGTATCGAAGATACGGACTTGTCTAGAAAGGCAAGGCAAAGGTCAAGTCAGAGAGTGCTTGGAAGTGGGTTCATTTGAGTGTTGCTTACCTATCGGTGCTCATTGTGGCTATGAATTGATTGCACGGGTCCCAGGCCACGCCCTGCACGTAGCCCTTGTGATCCTCCAGAATAGCCAGGGACTTTCCTTTGTAGACATCCCACACCATCGCCGTGTTGTCCACTGACCCTGTCACAAGGAATTGTGAACTTGGGGCCCAGCTCAGATCATAGATGTCCTCTCTGTGACCCCGCAGCACTTTCAGCGTCACCCACGACTCCTTATCCTGCTGACTACATGAATCGGCGTCCAAAATGTTGAGGACTTCATGGTCGGGCTTTTGTTTCCATATAAACACAACGCTCTCGTCATCGCCGGAGGCCAATAGCTCGCCATTGGGCGACCAGCGAACTGTGTTAACCGCCCGCTGATGTCGGGACAGATCCACAGCCAGCTCCAAGTCTACACCATCTCCATTATCGCACCGATTCACGTACCAGATCAGGACATGTGCATCTGTTCCCCCCGAGGCGAGTCGGCAAATCGTAGGCGATCGTAGCCCCTGCCCATTCATCTGAATATCCACACTCAAAACTGGATCGCGGTTGTGCCACGAGATCTCCGGTATCTTGCACTTCATGTTTTAACTCTTACTTTTAACTTAATCTATGTAGTATGAACTTAATAATTGTAATTGATGAAAAATATGCGGACTATTTCGCGCCTAAAACGCAAAGTGGGACCATTTTTGACGTGACCGCAAACGGAGATCAATAAAATGCATAAAATTAGTATTTTTACGCAGTTATATGTTTCATGTCGGTCGGCTTGCGTCAGATATCAATCATATACTCGAAATTCCTGGTTGTTTTCGATAGTTCCATTGCTTGTTTTGCAAAACAGCAGAATATTGCACTATTGTTTCAGTGTTAAAAGTCGTTGCAAGATAGTAATGTAAAATAGAACATAATAATCTAGGAGTGTGATTTAAGATTACGGTATATTTATAAAATGAGAAGTTATATTTTGATATATTGTTGAGTGTTGTGCGGTATATTTGATCGATTATTCCGCGGTCACACTGTACACGATCTAAAATGGTAAACAAATGTGAAATATGTCCCGTTCCCGCCTTTTACTGAATGAATTTAATTAATTTGCAGTCTGTGACACTGCATACCGACGTGGGCGACCTCAAAATAGAGCTCTTCTGTGATGCCTGCCCAAAAGCATGCGAGAACTTCCTGGCCCTGTGTGCCAGCGACTACTACAGCGGCTGTGTCTTCATTCGAAACATAAAGGGATTCATTGTCCAGACCGGCGACCCCACCAATACGGGAAAGAATGGCCAGTCTATTTGGGGAACTAAATTCGACGATGAGTTCAAGGAAACCGTCAAGGTAGGTGGCTTGGATTGCGTTCAGCAGCTTCAACCGGATGCATTGTTGTTTTTGCAGCACACTGACCGTGGAATGGTTTCGATGGCGAACAATGGGCCAAACGCTAACGCCAGCCAGTTTTTTATCACGTACGCCGCCCAGCCGAACCTAGACTTGAAATACACGCTGTTTGGTCGTGTAATCGACGGCTTTGACGCCCTTGACGAGCTCGAGAAGCTGCCTGTCAATCCCAAGAACTACCGGCCGCACGTGGACAAAAAGATTAACGGAGTAACCATACACGCCAATCCCCTAGCAACGTGATAGACAATGACTACAATTGGTTTGCTTAAAAGGAAACGTATTTATAGTACTTAAGCTAATTGATTTGTTCACTTACATACTAATTGGTTGAGAAACATAGAATATTGTGCAAAGGGTGTTCTAGGACTAACATCGTCAAATCAGCCGAGTCAGAATAGTTAATTAAAAATTGCATTGTTTTCAGAAATTTATCGCTGACTTTAGCACTTAAAATGGAACTTACAATAGGCAAATGTATCAGATGGATGTTTAAAGGATCAACTAGAAAAGAGAAAACAAATGCTAACAAGAATCTCGTACTACATGCGACTACACGTATAAACATCTAAGGATTATGTGGATGCGCCGTTTGTGATTGATTTGGCGGGCTTCGGATGATCCTTCATGTGCTGCTCGAACATGCTGCGAATGTCGGCCAGTGCCTGGGAGATGTTCTCAGAGAAACGTTGGACATCCTGAAAGATAAGTTTCAATAAATCGCAGCTCCATTGGAAGTGAGTAAAGGCAAGCCTTACCGTTTGCTGGCACGTTGTCTTTGCTGAGATATGGAAGAATATCAAGTTCTCTCCAGCAATGATATAGGAGACACCGTAGCCGTCGTCGGCCACAGGTCCAAAGCCACCTCCGGCACTGATGCAGTTCGGATGCTTCTTCAAATCCATCTTTGGCGTCTGCCCGTGAGGGGTCTGACTAGTCGACAGGCGCCACGGCTCGCTGAGCACTTCGTTGAGGAAGGGCGAGTCCACTTCCAGGTACTTTGAGACAACGTACAAGCAGAACAGATGCCTGTCAATTCCCCGCCCGCACATGGCATCCTGATAGCCCAGCTGATGGCGATCGCAGGCTGCCTGTAGCATCTTGACGCGCTCGTCGTTCTAGCAAATACAAAAACCAATTAGACTTGGATACAATGGTATTGAGGGACTCTTACGGTTATGCTTTGATTTTGCATGGCTTTGACCCATGCTGCAGACTCGATGGTACATGGGCGCACCGTTTCAGTTCTTCCCTCGCGGAACAGACGCGTCATCGAAGCCTCATATGTCAGGGAGAATCGTCCCGCATCTCGGTAATAGGCCAACTGCAGTGCCATTTGAATGTAGGCATCTGGGGAGATGTGGCACTTCTTCATGAATCCCTTGCCGTACTCCTGGTGCACCAGAATGCGCAGATTCACTTCATTGATTAGCTTGGTCACGTCCATGGTGGCCTCATCAATTTGGGACAGACAAGGTGTAAGATCCCAGCTCAGGCGTGTGGGCATGGGGGGCTGGAACTCAGGGGTGCCCTTGGTGTCGCCAGATTCATCGTATCTGCGTGGTGTTCAAGAGTTTGGTTAGTTCAAAGTGATCCGAAAAGTAAGTAAGTGAAGGCAACGTAATTAAATGGCTTTGGTTAACCTAACGAATCAATTGTTAGTCACTGGAACATGTGATAATTAATTTGTGATTGGGTTAAAGTGGTTATCAAATGCATATCTGTATCATTCGAAGTGCCTCGAGGTTTTCCCAAAACCATCTTTAATTACATATTTTGAATATTAAGTTAAGTGTTTACCCATAAATATCATCACCAAATATATACTCCCATAGATGTCCCAAAACCGGTGCATCGGCCCTATAAAAAATGTGTAAATTCAATCAATTGTTAGGCCACAACCAGAGTTAATTAAAAATATGTTTGTCTGTTTGTATGTACATGTTGAAAACCAAAATAAAGAACTCAAATTGAACGCATCCAACCGACACCGACACCGTCACAACGTAGGCGGGTACAGAAAAGATAAAATGAATTTACCCTTCTGATACAAGATCGTCGACGATCAGGTTCTCCCACATGTGAGAGGCAATGGCAGCGTCAGACCTTGGTTTGTGTGGTTTTTGCAAATTGTTCAAAGAATTTAGATTACGGCAAATCAAGGAAACGATTTGCACTGGGACTAGCACTGGCACTTACCAGGTGTGTTCGGCATTGAAGCCAACGCGTCCATTGTTGGCCACACAGACGGTGAAACATTTGTCAAACCAACGATTGTAGCCGTTGCCGTGGAGAAGCTTCTTTCCGAAATTGTCGAGCAGCTCGGGGCGTGCCAGATCAAACTCGAAGGGTTCATCGTCCAAGGATAGGACAAACGCCGCAGACTCAATGGTGCGCAGGGAGACGTGGTTGACGCCTCGCGAGAAGAACGTATTGCGAGCCTCGGCCCACTTCGAGCGATTCCAGGCGGTGAGTGCTGCCAAATGCTCTTCACCATCGAGTGGAGTGGCGTTGGCCTTTAGGATCTCCTCGATTTGACTGAATGGAAAGGCAAATGTTAGTTTCTGATTTCTGATCCTGGGATTCCAGATCGCAGCCACTCACACTTGCAGCTCGCACGGACGCAGTGTGCGTCCCTTGTGGTAGATGAGCATTTTGTAGTAGCAGCCCTTGTGCAGCACCACAATGTGGTTCGAGTCCTTGTAGTGAACGATGCGATCGGTTTCCAAGCCCGGCACACGGGCCGTATTGAAGGTGCGCTCATATTGCCAAGAGCACAGAGGAATCATGCCCTGGACCATGATCTGCGCAACAGAATAAAAAGGTTAACAAGTGTGCAGTGATGTATGTGTCGTTCCACCTACAGGCTGCAGTTCCTGGTGCTCGATAAGGCGACGGAAATTGAGAAGAAGGGAGACCACATTGGCTGCCCTGGCTGCCTGTTTGTTGGTCAGGTTCATGAAGATGGCATCAGTGCCATAGAAGTTGCTGTTGACACACAGGGGACTGCGGCCGCGCAGATAGACATACTCCTCCCACCAATCGGAGACGTAGTTGGTGGACCACCAGCTCTTCAGAATGAGATACCATTGCAGCTTCTTGCCAATATTCTGCTCGAACTCCTTGGCCAGGCGCTCCATTCTCGTGTAGTTATCATCGTCCAGCAGAGGCCGCACACTGCGTAGGTATCTCGTCATGGTGTCACTAACGGACGGCAGCGGCAGACGGGGCAAGGAACCCTGGAAACTGTACAGGCCAGGCTTGTTCCAGCTGGACAACACGCGCACCACTGCCACCCACAACATGGTGGGCAGCGAGACGCGACTGCCCGGCGCCCTCGACTCATACATCCAGCCCTTGTACATCAGTAGAAGCTTCAGTGTGTATCGCATGGTGAAACATATCGAGAGCCAGATCACTAGGGCAGCCAGGAAGCAGGCAGTCACCTGCCAGTTAATTGTGTTGGAGGGCAGATGAACGAGAAGTCTGTTGGTGAGATTGAAGGGCGCCTGGTAGCCGGCAAAGTGCAGACCCAGGGCAATGGCCGAAATCAGCCACAGACTTTGGATGTGGGCCGGATAGACGCCGTTGCGAACGCCATTCTAAAACGAATATCCAGAAAGGTTTAATCAAAGGTTTTCATTTGGAAATGCATCTCTTAGCTTACCCTGGCACGAGCCAAGCGCTTCTTCCAGGAGCGCACACCCGAGTTCCACACGAGATTGAGCACCTCGTGGTCATAGTTGATGTCGAAGCCCTCATGGGTGATGGCAAACGAGAATGCAACGGCGGCATGGGCTTCAGCCATACCTGCAGGCAATTGCTCTTGTCACACCTATTCCAATTAAAATGTTCTGCAAGAAAGATATGGGTTTAAAGAGGTTTTAGTATTAATGTCTGAGGCGATAATCTCTCTGCTTTGTTTTGAGTCTTTCGTCATAATAACCAATTAATGGTTAAACTGATAAGCTATATTTTGAATTGGCCAGACAACCCACAAGTGTGATTCATGTGTTGACCAATAACTCGGCCAGTTACCCGATTGGGATTGAAGTTAAATGCGCTGCGGATCGTATTGAAATGTACATTGCCATACTGGTATGTGGAGGAGTGCAAAGTTCAGCAAAACATTGCACGACTCGGATCTTGTTTAATAATTTTATACGCTTCTCGACAACCGATGTTATAACACTTTACATGCAATTGATGATTGACGTCACTGAAAGCGGTTTCATTCAAGTGATAACCTCAAACCGAGGATCGAGGGACTCGATCTGGGACTCTAGGTCTGGGCACAACCAGCCGCCAGACATATAAATTTCAACATATTTGGTGTTGGCAGAAGGCAAACAGTTAAAAATCGACATTCGATCGCTTGGGGCAGATCCATTTACTGTATATAGTGCAAAATGATTTAAGAACTATTTGCAATTTCAGTTTTGATTGTTATTGTTCAGCGTCTCATACGCCGTGACAGCTATTTAAATTGATTAGTGCGCCAAATGACAAAAACAAACAAACTGCTATACTCATACATACAGTGTATTTATTTATGTACATACAAATGTATGTTCTGTGGACTTTAATACTCAGAAGTAGAAGTAGTTTATGGGAATCCAGCTAATTTGTATCAATCACAACACAGTGCCAATGGCAGCTAAACCTTCGAGAGAGGTAAACAAACATTCAAGTGAAGGTCAATGCAGTGGGTCTTTGGGCCCGTGCATATCAATAAACCAGTTTCAACTTCGAAGACCTCTTCGAGATACAAATTCGTTTTCGTTTGACCTAGATCGAGGCGACTGTGCGACAATGCCTAATAATTTGAACAGCGCGCTGCCGGCTTTTATTTGTTTGCGTACGAGCGAGGGGGGTGGGGGGGGGGGCAGCAACATGGGCGAAAACAACAAATTCAAATACGAAATACGACTTGTTGCCTCTTATTATAGTATGTAGTCGTTGCTTAGTGGGCAGCAGGCACAGCAACAGCCACATCAACAGCCAAAGCAACAGCAGCGATCTCTTTCGCTGGGCCCCGACACTGGTGGTCGAGACGGTGCAAAGTCCACAATGATTTTTTCAGCATTGCTGCTCTGTGATGGGATCTGATCTCTTCCTAGACGTTAATTATATTGCAGAAAATTTAAATTGATGCGGTTTTTTAGATTGACCTTGCCTACCCCGTTACCCATTCCCCATCCATGATGCTTGTGTGGGTGCGCATGTGGCGGCGGGGCCAACACGGGTTTTATGTAACAAACTAAAAGTCCCCCTCAACACAGCTGATAAGGCAGGCAGCTATCTCAATGTGAAATGTATTTTTCAACTATCAAAAACAAGTGGGAGAATTTGGGTCAGAAGAGAGACAAACAGAGAGAGAGGGAGAGAGAGAAAGAGAGAGATCAGAATAGGAAAAGAAAACTGAGAAAAGCCGCAAAAATGCAACATTGGCACTGTTGTTTATCCGCTATTTGCGCTTCTTTGGCGCGTTTGTTGGGCGACCTTCAGTTTAATGGAAAACAAACCTTCTTTGTCAAATCAAATGTTTCTGAAGCCAATTTCCACCTGTTTCTCTGCAAATCACGTTCAAATTAATTACACTGACAGTCTCGAAATGCTAAGCGAGAGAGGGAGAATCCCACGAAAACAGCAGATTCGATTTTTATTCAAAATACGAGTTCCCTTTAGCTTTAGCTCCCTCGCGGTTGCGGTTTGTGGGGGCCAGAAAGGCAGAAACAGAACGCACACTTGATCACTTGAACGGCCGAACGCCAACTGAACCAGACGGTGCTCGCTGCAGGCGCATGGGGTCTTAAATGGCAGCAAGAGACGACTTTTCTGTGTTCGCGTGCGTGTGTGTGTGTGCGTCTGTGTATTTGGTGGGGTGCGTCACGAATCGAGGGGCTCGTGGAGTGTGTTGACCGATGCCTGCTGCTCCCCACAGTTCCTCTCCTCTCTTAGTGTGTCTGCCCGAGGACCGATAAAGGGTAATCTGAGTTTAACAAATGGAGATCCTAATATGTATCTACATACAAGTTTTAAATGATTGTCAAAGCGTTATCTAGTGCTCAGGTTGGATATGACGAAGCCATAAACTAGTATAGATTGGAGTACTCAAATGTTTGGTATTACCGTAGAGAGGCACTATATCATAAAGATAATGATGTGAATAATACTTCCAATTCCCGATACTAATGTCCAGTTTCGGCCAGACTTTGGCCTTTCTAAAAATATAAATAGATCCACACGAGTATGCCAACAGACTCGAATGCTCTCGTCTATTTATGTAAGGCGGCGCTGGTTTTCGCAACTACTTCAGAAGTGAAGAAGTTCTCTCCTCACCAATTTCAATTCAATCTTATCTGCGTTTCATGATGGGTGGTTGGAGCCTGATTAAGTGGTGTACTTACTTCAGACGATAAATTGGCTAGAAAACAAGTCTTATATGATTTGATTTTATAACATTAAAAAAGTGACCACAGCTGCGATAAGCAACAATTGAGAGGTTTTATCGCGTCTAACTATTTTTAGTTGAAAGTCCAAGCCTGCATTGTACTACGCCTGTGGGGGGGCCCACTGAAAATTGTGTAGTACGCAATTCGGCGGCCAAGGCTGATAAGGCCAGGCACGCGGTCCGATAATTATGAGTATTGCCAAAATAACCTAGTGCAATCTTCGACACATTGGCGCAGCAGTGGTTGGCATGTCTGGGGGGGCCTATGACTCCCTTATTGATAATTATGCCTAAAAAGTCTGGTAAAGAGTTCATTACCACACAACCCAGACAAGTGAAAGAGATCACAAGATGGCAGGTCGCACTGCTCGCCTATCTCCACTGTGGACTTTGAACCTCAGCAACTTTAAATGTGCGACGACCAAGGCAGCGCCAGCGCCAGCGCCAACGACGCATGTCTAACACGGCCGGGAAAGACACAGAAGAAGGTGGTGGAACCAGTCGGGCCTCTCTGAAATATCATTCACAGCTGCCGCGGCAATTAGGAGGTCAATAGTACCTCTCCTACCTGAGTAGCGTATTGGGGATCTGCCATTTGTTAAACTTCTCTTTTGGATAAGGTTCGTTTGCGTCTTACAAGCATACACACTCATGAGCATACATATATACAAATGTGTGTACTGTGTATGCATATGAGCAGTGGAGGAAAGTGCAGCAAGACACGTAGCCAGGCCAAGAGACAGATGCACACAGCTGCATCGGGGGTGTGTATAGGTGTGTGTGCTTGTCTTACACTCTCACAGCTTTTGCACCCACTCAGAGCGAGCAGAGAAGCTGGGAGGCTCCGCTCTCAGAGAGCAGTGCGAAGGCGAGAGAGGTAAAAAGCCGCACAAAACTCGTTTTGGACTTTGAACCGTGTTGAGAAAAGCGTGTTTTGTAAAAAAAAAAACAACAGCGTAAAACAACAACGACTTTATTTAAAAACAAACAACAATCAGAGCCACGAAAATACGGCGAAGGCGGCGGCAGGTAGTGTTGTAATAAATACAATATTATTCACTTTTAGTTGCTGCTTTTCCAAACAAGTTTCCATGCGATTCGTGGAGGAAAATTCACTATTCGGTGCTGCCTGGGACTTGCATGTGACCCAATTGTTTGAAACTGGTTGGAGTTTTTGAATTATTTTTGTGTGGCTAAGGGGGGCACTGAGCAGGTCGCTGGGGCAACAAAATCTAGGGAAATTTACCCAAATGGGAATCGGAAGTGGGCTTAGCACGCTCTTATGTACTTACTTTCTGGTGAACGGAACAATCAACGGACTGTTTTTATTTATCCAAATACACAAATCGAATAACACAATAGAAAACAGCACAAAGCGCGGAAAAGACCGGAGAGACAGACGAGAAAACGGCAAAGGCGCGCGCGCAATGTTGTAAACGTTTTGGTGGTGGAGAAGAGAATGAGACGAGAGTCGCTCGGAGAACGGCGGCAGCAACAAGCGCGAGAGTTTCGACCATATGATCGAAGCAACAGCAGAATAATCAACTTGCATAAGGGTTAGTGCTGCAGCATGTACATGCATATATACATATGCATGCATACATATTGCAGAGATGTATTTAACACAGAACCAATGCGCTTTCAAGCTTAACATCGCTAGCTTATATCATTATCAAGGCCCTTCGATGGAGCGTCTTCTTAGATTAGTATAAAGTGAAATAGGGGATACGGGAAAGTTAAGAGTCTTCTTGGTCTGAACTACTCAGTTGCTGCTACCGACTGTTCCCCATCCTTGTTGTCCTTGTTGGACAGGCCACGTATGCTGACGTCGTAGACAACCTCTTCAATCTTCTTCACGTCATATTTGAGGGCATCAAACCGCTTGCGTAAGCCATCATTCTTCAGGTTGAGCAATCGAAAGCCCGTGTTCAAGTCGCCAATAAAGTGCGAGATGTTCAGGGGTCGCTCATAATCGCCCATCGTGACGGAATTCGTGGCAAACCGCGACAGCTCCGATGCCAGCTGCAATATACCCAGCAAGTAGTCCTCTACATCCAAATGGAAGCCATCACCCGGCTTGGTCTTCACTGTTGACAGAACAATCGAATGAATATTAAAAACGTCGCAGGCAGAAAAAGAAATCTATACTCACAGCCCAGCATTTCGGCCACTGTCTCGCGCGTCACCAAAAAGCCCGCCTCCAAATAAATAACCAAGGCAATGAGAAAAATCAAGCGCTGTGTAATGTAGGTCCAATGATCGGAGTATCTGTGTAGAGCAGAGCATTAGACACCCACAAGGGCGGACGAACTTTCATCTCTGACTCACCTGTAGTATTGCCCTGGTGGCACCAATGTGGCCAATTTTACATATTTTTCGGCACAGGCTTCGATTAGCTTCCGGGCTGAACCGCAGGCGCCGCTAACTAAACGTAAGAGGAGTTAGAAATGACCACTATGGCTAAAATGAATAACCTACTTTGGCTTAAGTCGCTGTGAATTATCTGCAACTTGATTTGTGCGTCCTTCGCCAGATGCTCAATTTCCCTCACCACAAGTCGGATGTTCTGTAAGAAAAGTCCTAGGCATAAGCACCTATTTATTATACTGTTCTATGGCCAACTTACCTCCCGTACCTCCTGCTCATTGTCTATATACTTCTGGTAGTTTGAAAAGATATCCATATTCACGAAATTCGACATTTTGTTGCCTTTTTGCTTGTTTATGCCGGTGTAGACGCTAGAGATGGAAGGGGTGCACAATGAAGCGATAGTCAAATCGCGATATCGATGCTTGCACGAGAAATCGATTGGTCAACCAATCGGTCGCGTTGTACTTAAATTCAGATTTGTTTAGAGTGACCGTTTCGGGTAGATTTCGGTATATTTCATAGGGTCAGGCGGTATATCTTATCGATAAATCCGCAGTCACATTGTGTTTTGTTTTGTCAATTGAATTGACAAATTTTTAATTTCAATTAAAATCAAATTCAATCGTGAAAAATGTCCTACGTATGTTCTCATCAACTCAAAGAGGCGTACAAACTTAATTACATTTTGTTTTTTTCAGGGTCAAGGCTACAATCCCTACGGCCAGCCTGGTGGAGGCTATGCCGCACCTCCGGGAGCTTTCCCACCCCAAAACTCCCAAGTCTCCTCACAGGCGCAGCAATGGTTCGCCATGGTGGACCGTGACCGTTCTGGAAAGATCAACGCTTCCGAGCTGCAGGCCGCTCTGGTAAATGGGCGTGGAGACCACTTTTCGGACAACGCATGCAAGCTCATGATTAGTAAGTTATCGCCTCTGGAGTCGCTGTTGTGACGTCACAGCCATCAGTTGACGGCGTGAAGGAGGAACTTCCTGGAATCCGAAGCGCCAGCTGTGTCTATAAATATGTGCTAGCTGCCCCAAATCTGGAGGCACACGGGCGTGTTTGCTTAAATCGCCGGGCAGACATTATCTTGATTGTTTACTTAACCGATTCGTTTTATTGTGTTTATTCGTTCGCACTTAATGGCAAACTTTGGCCCTACTTGCAGGCATGTTCGACAACGACGCGAGCGGCACCATCGATGTTTACGAGTTTGAAAAGCTTTACAACTACATTAATCAATGGCTGCAGGTCTTCAAGACCTACGATCAGGACTCCTCTGGCCATATCGAGGAGAGCGAGCTGACTCAGGGTAATCTACTATAAATATAATGCCGTGACCGATTGATCTTTTTATCTAATTGCCTTTCGTTGTTAACAGCCTTCACGCAGATGGGCTTTCGGTTCTCGCCCGAATTCATCAACTTTCTGGTGAAGAAGAGCGATCCGCAGACCCACAAGGAGGTGTCGGTGGACCAGTTCATTGTGCTTTGTGTGCAAGTTCAGCGCTTCACGGAGGCCTTCCGTCAGCGGGACACGCAACAGAATGGAACAATCACCATTGGCTTTGAAGACTTTTTGACTGTGGCAATCGGTTGCTCTTACTAAGCATACTAAGCATACTAAACTGTTTCCAAAGCAATCCAAACTCTTGCACACGGCACAGCCATCAGACACAACACGACACACATTACTTATTCCGTAAACTGTGCATTTTGTTTCAATTAACATATTTACATATATGGTGTTTGTCAGCTTAGATAATTCGTCCTCTCACATTCATGTTAATGCAATCTCCTGGTACCAGAAATCCCTTTCAAAAGTATTTGTTATCGCAACTCGACTATCACATAGTACAAAGTGTCTTGCGCCTAAAATAAAGTACATACATATATATTTATAAAACGAAATTAAAATGGTTTTATTTGAAAGTAAAAGTTGAAGTAATTGTTGAATAATCAATCATCTTACCATAGCAGTTTCACTGCCCTATGCGTAGATGTACATATATGTATCTGTGTATGTGTATGTTTATATTCTTCTTGTATATGCACCCGTCTTATGGTGTTTAATATTTGAGGGATTCAATGCGATAATACAAAGCTTATGAGTACATAAGATATACGAGTATGATAAAACATTTAGACATTAAATTTGTTTTGGTTTTTGGTTTGGGAATCGTGGTAGTGTTCCCTAATTCTTTTTTGGTCATAGGTAAACAATAATTTTGTAAACAAAAACTCAGTCTTCAAGTCCATAAGTGTATAAATCGAATGTCTTAAAGGAAATAATGCAAATGAGACAATGGCAAATTCCAAACGATTCTCTGTAAAACTAGATCAGTCAGAGTACGAGTACATATTTATGTCTATCTTTAAAGATGGCATCGATTGAGGAGATCCAAGAATTGTCAAGGGTTTCTGTCTTAGAAGGCTTGATCAAAACTTAATTAAGAGATCTTCGGGGAGGCAAGGGCGTGGAAATGTTTTTATGGGCAGAACTTTCAAAATGTTTCGAAGATACAGATGAGCCCTAAGAATAATTTGTTTATTTCTGGACAACAGCGAAATGCTTGATAATCTCTTAGTATTTAGTGGCCTTTTTTAAAACGATTCGTGTAAATATGTTGGGCATAAAAGTCCTTAACTTAGCTATAAAATTGTATAAAAATAAAATCAATCTCACATAGGCTTATAAAATATCAGAATCAAAGTATAAAATAATACGCAGCGTGAAATATTGTTCGGTTTGCAGTCGTTGTCGTATGTTGCCTTAAGACTAATTTGATTATCTGCTTGATTAGATTGGTTTACGAGTGCTTATATTATATAAATTATTACATGTAAACATTAAATATTTGGGATGACACATAAATGACAAGAAATATATTTCGTTAATTCCTCAAATCAAAACAAAAAATGCAAGGCAGATGATTGCATCCAAGGCAGATCTCCTTAGTGGTTGGACAGGGCTACAAATGAAATGGAAGATTCAGTTGGTCCCCATAAAAGTATTATTTGGTATCAAATCGCGCGCAAAGAGTCTCCCTTCTACTTATTGCAGTCTATAATCAGCTTGCCTTGGGAATCGTCGGACATGGAGCCGCTCATGCCGTCACCCTTCATGGAGTACTTGGAGCGACGCTTGCTGGGCAGCTGGGGCAAGTCGGTGTGGTGCTTCCTTACGTGGACGCCAAGGTTTCCGCGCTGCTTCGACTTGTACGGACAATACGGACACTGATGGGATGGCTCCTTGCCACCACACTCGACATTCTCGTGACGACGCAGTGTGGACTTCCAGCGATATTTCTTGCCGCAGTGACGACACTCGTAGACTGGTTCGCCATCCAGGCCAATCGCATTGGGACTGGTGATGCTCCCGTTGCTGCTGCTGCCACCATAGTCACTCAGTGTGAACTCCAGATTGCGAAAGACTTGGGCCTGGGCCTCCAGCATGGAGTTGGTGGAGCCTCCGTGCGCACTCGACTGGAACATGTTCAGCGAAGAGTTGCCGAACTTGGTGCCGCTCTGTTCCATGAGATGTATATCGTCAAAGGCATGGAAGCGGCCATCATCTTCATCCTCTGTCGATGAGCCCGGCTCGTTCTCGCACTCCGAATGGCGCATATCGCGCTCCTGCTGCTTGCGCAAAAGGTTCTCCAATATTTTGGTTGGCGTGGTCTCGTTGCCGTTTGCCGTATCGACCTCCTCCTTGATGCGACGCGGAGGCGTGTGGTGGCGCAGTATCTCCTGCGCACGCAGCTGTTGCTGGAAGCTGTGCAGCCCATTACGCATTAGTGCTTCGGCTATGACAGCCGCCTGTGGCTTTGGTGTTGGAACAACTGGGGCAACTGGAGCGATGGTTTTGTTGGCAACCAACACTGAAGTTGGTATGGCCTTCACCCCACCCAGGGCAAGGCCAGTGGGGACCGCTGTCTTCAGAGAGTACTTGTTGCGCGGATGAAGTGATGCAGCGCCAGCGGCAACGCCCATTATCTCATCAGCATTCAAGTTTTTTGAAGCCGTATCGGAAGCGGAGCCGTAGACGGCAATCGCGGCAATGGTGGAAGGCTCCAATGTCTCACCCGAGGTGGGCGACACCTGGCCGTACTGATTCATCTCTGGGTGGTCCAGTTGCTGTTGCTTCGGCACCTTGGCCGACTTGGTCTTGTAGAACTCGAACAGCATGTCCGAGACCTCAGACACAGACAGTCGCTTGCGACGAGATCCCGGCACTTGAATCCTTTGTTCATCGCGCTTCCTTCCATTGAGAATACTGCGCTGGAAACTGCGCTGGATCTCTGCTGTTCCCACTCCTGGGGCGGTGTTCTCCTTTCGGCTCAAGTCTGCAATCGGAAACATATTTTTTGTTTGATTAGTTTTTGCCAAAAAATGAGAATTGTTTAAATTTTAGATTCGTTTTTCTCGCTTCTATTTCCTGTAGTATGAGCTTTGTCGCACGACTGATGAATTGTTGAGACGTGACAAATGAAAAAGCAATTTGTAACTCTCGGGCTGCTTGGGTTGTTAGGGCATTGAAAGGTGTTAGTTAGATGACAGAAGGCATGCAACAAAACTAAAAGCAAAATACACTAAATAATGCATAGGTAAAGCAACACACATATAATTTTGGTTTAGAATTAAATAAACAAGGGTACACGTCATTTTCACTTTTATTAATATTTTGGAACACATTTTTTGATTAAATAAAATAGCTTTTGTAAGTCGCGTTAGATAATTGTCAAAATTTTGCTGTTCTTTGTTTGTTTTTGGTGCTTCGATGGGATGAGATGATGTTGGAGATGTTTTGTGGTGGGTGAGTTTTTGCTGAACCGAAACCATTTTTAAGTGTATCTCATTACCTGCTATATCTGTGAAAAATAGAGAACAATAGGTTAGTGATGTCTTGAATATGTATTCAATTTTTCGCTGGTATATCCACGAGAGAGCTGCGTTGACGTGTATCCGAGGCCACCTGTAAAATGAAGCACAGAATCGGATTAATCAAATGATTTTTATTAGACTATTCAGGGTGCAGTTCGCTGTGCTCGGTGCTTGCTTTCCGCTGCTGGCTTGGGCAGAGCTTTTGATTATCAACTAATCTCACAGTCGAATATTCAAATTCAAGTCGAGCTTTGCCAGCTTTTCCTTGCACTCCGCCCACGCACAACCAGCCGCGAAAAGCATCCACACGGCAACACAATCGAAACGGCACTAGTTGACGCTGCCTAGCTTACAAATTTTCAATCCCATCCACAAGCACGAAGCGGAGGCAGCAACGGATCCGAATCCTAAATCCTATGCGCAGCTGCAACGCTCACACACACACACACACACGCACACGCACACTCAGGCCCTCGGAAAATGCTGGTCTTTGTGTGCCCGTGTGTATCTGTTGCACAGCAAGTGCA